GAGAAGCAGCGAACAAGCTACGTAAGTAACGAGTCGTCTGTTTGCTCGTGTGGTGTCTCCTCGGTCAAACAATCGGAGAACGTCCACGAGGCATCAAGTACAGCACGTGAGGACGCGTGTCCGAAAAAAGAAGCGGGAACGGAACTCGCAAAGACAATAAACTCGATGAACTTCCGTCGAGGGAAAAGAGAGCTCTCACGGACAATTAGTCGTTTGTACACGAACGCCGAGGATGTTTGGAGATAAGACAAAAGAAACGGAGAAAGCAAGGAGACGAAGATGCAACTGGAGTAGCTGCGACTACGAAGCGCAGCAACATCGACTCCAGGAAATGGTGGGCGAGATGGAATTCGTTCTATGCTTCTAAAGACCAGATGATAAATAGTCTTTCAACGTGGCTAATTGCAGACACGTTTCGAGCATTTTGCAAGGTATTCGCGACTGTTGCTGTTGTAACGACGTAAATTAGGCAAATTGGCTAATTTCGTAGCTGTGACGGGGCAAGCGGAATTTATTAAAACGACGATTTCCAAACGAGATCGACGTTAATTGAAATAGTTAGGGTGGCCATTGAAAGGTATGTCAGGAGACTGAGTAGCATCGAGCAGGATACACGGTTTGCCATTTTGGTAAATAAAACGCGACTAAACGCGACTGGAAAAATTGTCCGTTTCCGAAGGTAGAATTATATGGGCGTTTAACGTCGATATCGATCGATTGAAATTTTTAATAGATGTAAAGCATATGAAATCGGTAAAATGACAGATACTAATGGAGAAAAATATGTTTAGAAATATAAATGTTAAATGTACGTACCTCGAGAACACTTGGTACGTTCTCGTCATGATCGTCCGACGTTCAAACAAGTAGATTCGACGTGTCGAAATTCACTCAGTCGAATACCAATGATAGTTTCATGCCACGTGATAGTTAAATTAAGACGAAATATTCAAATTCTTCCTACGATTATTTGATTTTATTTCGCTTTACGACCGGTAAGTAATCGACTGAATGATAGCTAAATACTCAAGTAGAAGCTGCAGTTTTATTACAAATACAACCATCCTTGCCTTACTTTGGTTACGCTATTTTGTCTTTCAAGGTGCCTGATAGAAAGAGCGAGAAAGCTACTGTTTGCTTCGAAGAGTTTCGTAACGAGTAGTTAAATAGAACCTAATTACCAAGAGTTAGCAACTAATAAAATACGAACGAAAACAACGAAACGAACGAGATGCAAAGTGTTTTAAAAAATATAAAACAGTATAACAGCGTATAAAACGTGTATACATCTGATATCGAATTAACGATTAATAATCGATAATTAACATAATTCCATCGGCATCGTCGCACTTGAAAGGCGCGAACAGACGTTCTATTCGAAACGATGGCGCGACCCGTGGCGGAGACGAGAGGATCGGCACAGACACCCTCGACAGATCTCTAAATTTAGTTAGACGCGTTTTACTGACGGGGAAGAGAGAACGGATCGACGTCGACGCAAACGAACGGAGAGGAAGAGGACACGATGGGACGTGGTTCCAGATGAAACGTCGGAAGGGACAGTGTCGCGATTCTCGCCTGGCCAACGTCCAAATGGCGATACCTCGATCGCCCAAATGTCATGAATGGGTCGACCTGGTAAACGTTTCCCCGTGACCAGATTCTCGAAAGAGAAAGAGCTCGAACCGAGCCAAGTCCACGGCTCTTCGGTCGCGCCGAAGTTCAATCGATGTTCAAGGTTGAGAAATCGAGCAACGACGCTGACCGATTTTGCATCGCGCGATCGTCGTGTCAGCGGTTCACGCTTGCGATTAAAACGGAAAATTGTATTTCACGCCTTCTATTTTGTTATCGATTTTTGATGTAAGGTGGTGGAAATCGGTGTAAGGTATCGCGGAAATAAAAAAATCTGCGTTGCAGGAATATCAACGAGAGAAGTTCCAGGGTCGAAGAAAGTCTATCGGGGGCCTTCTGTTTCTCGAGAAAAGCGAGATTAAACGCGTTACTCTTTGAAATTTTCTGTCGAGTTTGAAGTCGTTTATTCTTACGATTGAATAAATTTGTATAAGCAAATCGAAGCAGATTCTAATTGATTCGTTAGTAAGCGTTGGTACGTGTTCCAGTAACGTAACCGACGTGGTGATATCTATTTAATGGCGAGAACGTATTCCTTTAATTAAATAAAACAACGCATTACATAGATTGGCATCAGTCAATAACGAAAAAGTATTGGGTGGAATGAAACACACCGTCAGGATATGGTAAACGATGAAGGAAATAGAAGAGAACAGAGTCGTATGACAAATGATATCTATGAAACTGAGTAATGAAACGCCAGCGAACATCATTTTTCAGTTACAAATATTCTCGACAAGCTGTATTATTGAACGAGCAATAAAATATCCTAGGGATTAAAACTGATATGTTTTACTGGCAGGAGTAAAGGAACAACCACCACCTTGCTGTAATATATTACAAGACCAAAGAAATTCCATCGGACCGTAGAATAAAAACAGTTGTTAAATCTTAGCAACAACGATGCACTCGATGTCGCGAGAACCGATACGTTATCGTTCGATCGTCGTATCGTCGAAAATTTAATTTCAATTAAATCTATCACGCCGCCCGAAGGATTTAATTACCAACGATCAAAGATAAAATGGATTAAAAGGCTATGATGATCGCGCGGCACGACGATATCGGGCAATTACTTCTCATCTACGTGAGCTGTAATTCTAGAAAAATCGTTGCAGAACTAATAATTACAAGGCTCGAGCCATCAATTTATAAGAGAAATCGATCGACAATTTGTTACAGTGAACGAAGCCCGTGTAATTGAATATTAGCAGAGGATGGAGAAAATAAATTTCTGAAATTGCGGTTAATATCCATTAACCGCGGTTAACGAGTCGACGATAACTAGGACGAGGTTGTTGTGACAACTGGAAGCGGTTACGATCGATGATCGAGGTTTCCTCGGAGGCGGAGAAAGGATATGATTGATGAATCGGTGGTAGAGACGAAGCGCATATCGTAAATAGCTGTCGATCTGACTAGGAAGTTTCAAACAGCTAAAACTGCAGTTAATGGAAATTCGTATTTTTCTGAATACGTAATACTGAAAGAATCCTCGTCAAATATTCCTCTTGCACGCTGTATATTATTATTATTATTTGTTTATCGCAACGAGATTCAAAGTCTGGTACGATCTCTGTTACAAACGTGCACGTTTGACATAATTGTAATGAAATATAGGGAAATATGACGTGATATTAATATACTGTATAACACGATAAATAACCTGATATAATATATCGTAGTATAGCATAGTGAATTTCAGGTTTGACTTTGGTCTTTGTATATTAATTGCAGGTCTTTGTTGCTTGAGCTTTCTTTGTTTCTAACTTGGCCAAGAGGATACTCCTGTTAGATTGTTTGTTTCTTTTTTTTTTTTACAAAGAAAACTGTAACAGTGTTTGCAATGAAACTCGCAGAGTATATTTTTGCATATGTCAATAGCATGTGTCATTTTTCTTGTCGAGAAGAAATTAAAATTGACGGCACTGTATGCCCTCGTACGCAATTGGCAAAAAGACCTCGTCTCATGGAGTCCACGATTGCGGTCGTTCTACTCGTTTAAAATAAGAAACTCAAGGAGATCGTTAATTAGGATGAGTTTGACTGTATCACGAAACTAGGACGAAAGCAAAAAGTCGATAATTAAAAGAACGACGACCCTATGAAGTTCGATCGTCGATCCTCTCCATTTTTCTTTAACATTCAAAGGCTTAAATAAACAGAAAAAAAGGAAGGTATGGAATTTGTTCTTGTTCAGACTATAGCGATACACGCGTGGAAGATTCACACCAAATCTTGAGCCAATTGGTCGAGTAGATTTTATGGTACCGTGAACGCCGTGATGAAAAATAACAGACCAGAGAAACGTGTTTAAAATGTTGTGTATCGATGATAATTATTCTAAAAATCTTTCGAACGTTCGTAACTTCGTTGATTAATCTTACATTTCTCAGAAATCCATAAAAATCCACGGCTTACTCGTAGACGCTCTAAATAAGAAAGAAAATGATTCTTGGATGAATTGAAGTTTTCCAAAAATGGTACTGCGTCCTCGAATTAGAAGTAGCGGTTTTTAATTAACACACAACACGATGTACGTATGTTGCTTCTTAAAAAGACGCTAATTACGACTCAGCGAAGATCAAACCGAGATGCAAAAATTCAGAAGGTCGCGTATCCTTCGTTTGGCATTTGTTTGGCGGATCATTTTCAGAATGTCCCTTCTGTGAAGATACCATGTGTCCGCTATTAAGTACGCATCGCAATGGAGAATTGCTTTCCTAAATAAAGGATTCTACGCGTGAGTTGTGCGTAGCTAAGAGAATCGACGTGAAATATCGAATTGCGATACTTTGGCGCAATTTTAGCGGCGTTTATTACGGCCACGATTCGCGGAAGAATCGAATTAGAATCCGCGTTAGGCTGCCAAGTAGCGAAAGCTGTCGGTTTATCTTTCGTGAACTTGGTACCGAGGAAGCGTACTACGAGCCATGTTTCGCGTCTGTGGCGCTAAATAATCTGGATAGAATCCCATTAATACAGCTTTCACGTGTTTTGCTGAAGAGATACCTAACGATCTTCGCATCGTCGTACGACAAGCTTGTAATTTCATTGCGAAACTTCGAATTACATCGCTCGATACAATTAACACTGGAACTACCACGCCACTCAAATTGACTGATTTTACAATTTTATTGTAAAATTCCTACTTTATGCTACATTTTTTCCACAGTGATGTAATGACTTTCGCAACGATAACTAAAAGAATAATATAACGAATTTTATTTCGTATTTTATGTCTTCAAACCTGACATAATTTTGTATCAAGGCTACTTTTACCAATGCGACCTAATAATAAATAAATGATAATATGAATTTTCTTTAATAAAAAATATGAAATATGAATTGTCTTCGTTTCACAGATCTGAATCATCCCGACACGGTGATTGTGTCAATCGGTGAGAAGCTGATCCTACGATGCTCGTCGAGTTCGAACGCGGAGACGATTTGGTACAAAGGCGACGATATTTTCCGACCATCGTCGCCAAGAATTCGATTAATGAAACAGACGCTGAGGTTCAAGTACATCGAGCCCGAGGACGCAGATTCGTACAGTTGCCTGGTTGGATCAAACATGACGAACGAATGGAGGAACGTGACGATACGAATAGAATTGTTGCAGAACGACGAATACCAGCACGAAACCGAGAGACTGGAAAGACACGAGGAGGAAACGAACGAATTGGAAATCGAAGCGAGAAGTTAGTACTCGGATTTTCTTCACTTTTCAACCTTGGGCAGTTGTTCGTACTTTGTATCGACGATATCAAACAAAATTTGATTAAAAATTCGCGATCGCTTATTAGTTACATTTTCTACGTAATTTGTCATTTGTAATTTGAAAGTTATAGCGCAAGAATCGATAATAATATTCCTTAGCTCTGCAAAAGGATAATAACGTTACCTATCCTGCGCCTCTTTCGTCAGTTAATTCTAAATCGCCTTCATATCGTTGGAAATCTCTAAAAATTCCAAACAGCTTCGAAATATCTTTGGAAACCTTTGGTTTTAAATAATTTAGGGATTCGTAGAAATAATTTCGTTTCGCTCTTCCTGCATTGTATCATCCGTAAACTTGAAGAAATCAGATTACTTCAAAAATCCACTCCCTTTAATGCGAAATTCCAATCAATGTTTCTTCCCTTTCCAAAAGTCCCTCTTCAAGTATTACAAGTTTAACCTAACGCTGCTATCTTTCGTTTAAACGAGTCAATTCTAGATCCTCCAGTTAATTTGTCGAATTAATTCTGAATGAAAGAGAACACGAATCTCGGTGTCACAGATTTGCCAGAAACGCGATCGTTGCACCTGGAAAGCGAAAACGCGGAGGTCGACCTGGACAACGAGAAACTGGAGAACGAAACAGCCGGTGAACACAACAACACCGCTCCCGTACGAGCACCGTCGTTCAATAAAAGCGTAGAGATGCCAAACGTGGTCGTGAAACCTGCTGGCAACATGTTACGTTTACGGTGTCCAAGCTTTGGCAACCCAAGGCCGAACATCACATGGTACAAGAACAACGAAGAACCAAAAAGAACGCTTGGCACGGTGGTTATGTCTAAGTGGACCTTTAGATTGGAGGATCTAGTGCCTGAAGACAGCGGCAATTACACTTGCGTGGTGTGCAACGAGCTGGGATGCATCAATCGCACGTCCAAAGTTGAAATTGTCGGTGAGTATCGTATTTTTTATCTTTCTATTTACTAAAACGTACAGCGTAATGGAGAAGTAAGAGTAACGTTGAAATGAAAAAGTAAAGTGTAATGTTGAAATTGTCAGTGAGCCGCGTTGAGTGCATCGTGCTTTTTATTTATTTTTCTTTTTTCTTATTTATTGGAAGGATGCTATGTATAATGGGAAAGCGAATGTAGCCTTGAAATTGTCAGTGAGTAAACGAGTGTCTCATTTTTTTCTTCTATTTATTGGAAAGATCTCTCGTCTGTTTTCTTTTCATTAAAGCAATTCGGGGAACGATAGTACAATGGGGAAGCAAAAATTTGTGTTTTCTGTTAGTTAGCTTTTGCTGAATTAGCTGCGACGAAGTTAGAATAAACGAAGTAAGCTATAGTGGAACGATGTTGTAGGTTTTAAAATGAAAAAAGAATCGCGGTATTCAGCGATCAGGAAGTTTCTAAATTTCGCAATATCGTTTTATATTATCATTTGCTATGCGTTCTTCAATGGAAAATATTACGACATATTCAGTGATTATGTAAAGAAAGAAGGTTTCTTAAACCCATACAATTTGCACCTATTTTTCATTGGGAACAGTAACAGTCAACGATAACAATCGAAGAAGGATTTTTCGAAGAAGGACATTAACGACCATTAATCACTGTGCAATTTCTATGTTCGGTCAAATAATTTTAAATTACCATTTGTACCTTCTCCAATGGAAATACCAACCATTGAAAGATTCCTATGACACCGGGTAGCACGAAGAAAAGAATCACGACGTTGGATCATTGCAAACTTATCAAATCTCATAACATTTCTCACGTTACTATCTACCATCCATCTTTCACTGGAAATACCATCGATTAGAAATTTCCAGCGATCGCGTTGCATAAAAGAAGAACATTTCTAAAGGAAAGTTTCTAAAAATTCCATATCTTTTTACATTATCGCTTGCTACACGTTCTTCGCTCGACGAAAGGAATCAGCACATTAGATTGTCATAAATAAACTGCGGATCTTTATACATTTATGAGCAATTTGATACATTGAGAGTGTAATTTTTACTAAGCAAGACAATTCTCTACTCGGGTTTTATTTTTTAAATTAAGTATAAATATCCACAGTCTAGCCATGATTAACATAAACGTGCTCCGCTGGAAATACTATCGATGAGAAATTTCCAACGACCGTCTAGCATAGAAAAGAAGGGATCACGACATTAAACAGTCGTGAATTTTCATTGCATCTATAGAGCGTTTCCCTCATAAACCATACATCAACGTGGATTTCCCGAAGAACGTAACCGCGGCGGTGAACAGCACGGTGACGTTCAAGTGTCCGATCGTGTCCGATCTCGAACCGTATATACAATGGCTGAAAGTAGTCGAGTACCCTGGTGACCAGGAGAATTCACCGACCGGCATTCTTCTTCAGGTACAGACAGACCGGATTGCTTAGATGGTGGAGGTTCCTGTGTCTTCTCGATGGATTCATAATCATCGCTTTAATCCTCCACTTTCGAATAAGAACTGTACATATTGTTTAGGTGGTGGAGGTTCTTGTGTCTTCTCCATGGATCTTTAATTATCGCTCTAATTCTTGATTTTTAATTAAACACTACTTGTATAAAATGATTATGTATAATAATGTATACAAATTTTATGTAAAACAAGACAGATTCCAATGGATTCTGGTGATATGTGAACTGTCTGCGGCGATTTTTAAATAATATCCTAGTGACTAACGATACGGTGAAGGAAACATGTGCCGTTTGGTATTTCAGGTGCTGCCACGTGGATTGTTTCATTTTGTTCTTTTTTTACGTTTTAATAATGTCATGTTGCTGTATTCTATCTTCTTTTTTCTTCCGATCTGTTTCTTCGATATTCGACGATCGAGGTCTCTTGAGATCAAGCTTACTTGTAGAAAGATCGTAATAGAAGAAACTGACATGATGTAATAGACATTTTTTACGTGTTATTTCATTCCTTGCTTCCTAATGAATTAAAAAGTACTCGAACTAACTAATATTCCACACAAACGCGCACAAAATTTCTTTAAATTTTCTTCTTTCTTGATTACTTTGAAATTATTTGAATGTCTTTGAGAATCTTCAAAAATGATGAGAAAAATTGTACAACCTTAATTCTCGAAATCTTAGAAATATAATCATAGAATTCCTTAAACCATGAAAATAATTATAATCGTTATTATTAATATCCGATCTCTGTGATACAAGTTTGATGCAATAGTTTGATCTCGAGAGATTTCTTTTCATCTCTTTCTATTCTCTGATACACTGGAGCTTGGTAAAAAAGGTGGTTGGGTCTATTTTTCCTGTAGAGAGCGTGAAACATCGGCCGATACTGACCAGGCCTCCAAGAAACACGACCGTTCTGATAGGAGGCAACGTTACTATGACCTGCGAGGTTCTGTCGGACGCGCATCGTCATCTTGAATGGTATCACGGTTATCACACGTCTTTCGACACTGTCAACAAAACCAATCAAAGTTTCCGGGTGGAGGTCAAGGTGGGCACGTAGAACTACTTGAAATTGCATGCAACACACTCTATTTTCGTTTATACGCTTCCGCTTCTTGTGTCGTCAATAGATCAAAATTAATTTAAAGTTTAAATGTCGCTAAAGCTATTTTTCAAGTTTCCTTGTTTACGATCCTAATAACACTTTCTTTAACTCTAACTTTTTCTTATCCGATATTCTTCGATTTTGCATTGGTTCTGTTAAAGTCTGAGCTACTATTACATAAGCGTCAGTTTTGCATTTTAAACATAGTATTATTCTTCTCATTACTATGAAACGTAGAATTATGGAACAGAATATTACTTTCATCAGAAGATCTAAATTGCACAGTATGATAAGATTGCAAGTAAATTTCATTTTATTTACAAGCTATCTTTGTACGTTTTCAAGTATCAGAATCGCTTAGTTTTCATTCAATTGCAGTTAGCTTCATATTTATAAAGAAGATCATTTCTCTGTAGTTCTTTAAACTGAAACTATGCCATAACTAAAATCGAAGACGACCTTACGTACAACCATTTGCCAAATCATCCCCTTACTTAATCATCTCCTACTCAAAGCAACGAAGCTGTAATCCTCCATTTCTCTAAATCCTACTGAATTCTTTCCAACAGGCGGAAGGCGCGGACAATCCAGAAGTACTGAAGCTATACAACGTGACACAGAAGGACGAGGGGTGGTACACCTGTATAGCGCAGAACGCGTTGGGAGAAACCTTCAGCAGTGCCTATCTCCGAGTAGTCGAATGTACTTAAAACTTTTTGTAATAATAAAAATCCCTTTTCCTTAGTTTTGTTCCTTAGTTATGTTTAGAAGGAGATATAATTGACATCTTTGCAATGGATTCTGCTCTTTCTCAAAATTGTCCAATAAACTTCCTAACGTCAATAACTTCATCATCTTGCTATATTTGCAAGAAGATTATCGCGTTCTGCCTAAAAATAGAAACAGTAAAAATTTCTCTATAAAATTAAAGAAGTATCTCTAGTACTCTAAACGTATACCAAGAAATTTGTATACTCAAACACCTTATAACAATCTTGCCTTTTCGTCTGTCCATCGTCCCCAATTCTAATAAACATTTCTTCATTCTCCAGCTTTGGAGGACCATGGAATACCATTGACAGCGAAACCACAAATTCTCGTGAACGTTCTCGCCGCTGTCCTCTTCATCTTCTTCGCCGTGGGCGTGGTGGTGGTAATATACATTTTCCATCGTCTGAAACGCGAGAAAATGAAGAAGCTGCTGGCCATAGAGACGGCACGTGCCGCAGTCGTGACTCAATGGACGAAGAAAGTGATCGTGGAGAAGCAGAACTTAGTAAACGCGCAGAACGTTCAAGAACCGTTGCTGATGCCCGTGGTGAAGATCGAGAAACAAAAATCGACTGTCGCCGCGGAGGACAGCAATGGAGGAAGTATCTCGGAGTACGAACTTCCGGTGGACAGTGCTTGGGAGTTGCCACGAGAACATTTGACTTTGGGAAACACCCTGGGCGAAGGCGCATTTGGAAAAGTCGTGAGGGCGCAAACAAATACTGGAAAACCCGGGATTCCTTGCGTCGTAGCTGTGAAGATGCTGAAAGGTAGACGCTTTATCCGACGCTTCATTCTGATCGTTCGAAGTTGCTTGAATTCCTCGTTATGATTTTCCTAGCTTCGCTCCTTCTTCACGTTTTTCATTCTTTCTCGCTCGAACTCCTTTTTCATTCGATTTTCATCAAAACTATCTAAAAATAATTCTAATCTATGCAAAAAATTACACACCAATCATTTGACCTAATTACCCAGTGACTAATTTCTCCACAGAGGGTCATACCGACGCGGAAATGATGGACTTGGTATCTGAGATGGAGATGATGAAGATGATCGGCAAGCACGTGAACATAATCAATCTGTTAGGAGCCTGTACACAAGGCGGGCCATTGTACGTGGTCGTAGAATTCGCTCCGCATGGAAACCTTCGTGATTTTCTACGGGATCACAGACCTTCCTCTGGATACGAACCGACCATTGGCCAAGAACCAAAAGAGAAAAAGACTCTCACCCAAAAGGACCTAGTATCGTTCGCCTATCAGGTAGCTAGAGGGATGGAATATTTAGCGAGCAGAAGGTGTATCCACAGGGATCTGGCTGCCAGGAATGTTTTAGTCAGTGATGAATATGTTTTGAAGATCGCTGACTTTGGTCTCGCTAGAGACATACACTGTCACGACTACTACAGGAAAACCACAGACGGAAGACTTCCGGTTAAGTGGATGGCACCCGAAGCTCTCTTCCATCGAGTTTATACCACTCAGTCCGACGTGTGAGTATAAGAAATATTCTTAGTAATTGGATAAATATTCATTTGTTGTAAAGAATTATTTATCTTTTCGAAAGTATAAAATCGAATGGGTCTGATAGCGTCTAACAAAGTGTCCCTAACACTGGTATCATTTATATTCGTTGACTAATTTGAGTCTATCGTCGTAATGTTTCAGATGGTCGTACGGGATTCTGTTGTGGGAGATCATGACACTGGGTGGTACCCCATATCCGTCCGTACCATCCGTAGAAAAATTGTTCCAGTTGCTAAGAACTGGCCATCGAATGGAGAAACCACCGTGTTGCTCCATCGAAATGTAAATGCAACTTTTACAATTTACCATGCGTTTTTCATCGTGACGGAATACTAATACGCGATACTAATAAAATGAAACAACGTTGCAGATACATGTTGATGAGGGATTGCTGGAGTTACCAGCCTAACGAACGACCAATGTTTGGGGAACTGGTCGAGGATCTCGATAGGATATTAACGATAACTGCGAACGAGGTAAGAAACTCGAAATATTCTCTGAAAACCGAGATTGAGATTTTGAAGTTCCTTTCAAGCAGAAGAGAATTTCCAAGCTTCAATGATTTACATAATCATTCGTTTGCCTTGCGCGAGGATTACTCGGTCGTTCGATTATTTCTTCCAATCTTCGAATCTCAGTTATATTCAAAATAATCCTAATGTGTTTGGAATTTAAGGAACGATGTAACGTATCGTTTTAGGAATACTTGGACCTTGGCCTCCCGCAGCTAGACACGCCGCCGTCCAGTCAAGAGTCCAGCGAAGCCGACGACGACGAGGGCGAAGAAAAATTCCCTTACCTACTGTGAAAATCCCACGAACGATCGGTTTTCGCCGAAGATTGTGTAAAAACTCTGAGAAAGATCCGGAATGGACAACGAACGAAAGAAGCGCAGAAGATAGAAGCACGAGAAGGACGAGGGGTCAGATGCGAAGAAGAGAACGAACGAAGATCACGAAGAAGAGAAAGCTATTTTATAGTCGAAGAACGCTGGTGAACGAAAGTCGATCTACCGACTGACCTAGCGAACACGCCAAATAATATAAATCAGTATTGAATTGTTTAGCGCGTATTCCGTAGAATTTAAGGAAGAAGAAAAAGAAGAAGGAAGAAAGTAACGATCGAGGAAGAAAACTCCGGCCTTCGAGGAGACTGATTTTCTTACGAACAACATTGTATTTATTTTCCTGTTATCTTTATATCCTGGGAAATCGATTACTATTATGGAACGTGCGTTTGTTCCACGTGATTCACGTACACGCGTTTCTCAGGTTTCTGTCGTAACAGAATCGTATCGAAGACTTTTGCTGCACACCTGAACTACTATGGCAGCCGAAGCGTGAGATATATAATAAAGAATAAAATTTCTTACAAAATATTCACGTCCAATTTTGTACATGTTATACTACCGTGCCATTGATAAGTGCCTTGGGAAGATGAATGAAAAGAGAATGAGAGAGAGAGAGAGGGGAGATAGAAGGAAAGTTCCGCCAGGGCTTCTTGTATTCGTTAATATGAAGAGAAGAAGAAACACGTACATATATATGTATATGGTGCATCAGGTTTGCACAGAAGAGATACCTGATCTACAGGATCATCTCGAAAAGTGTTTGTAACTAGTCAATTAATAAAACCTGTACGTTTCTCTGTAACATAGCTCGAACTCGGTTATTAAGGTATAATGATATGTATTATGTTAGCGTTTCTACGTGAATGGACTCTAGTGGACAACGAGCGCGAATCTTCGAATTTTTGTAGAAAGATGGAAGAAGATTGTAGATTGTAAGTGAATGATACGATTCGTCGAGTTTTTAATCGTCTTTTTTTTTTTTTTTTTAACCACGCGAGTTTCTACGTTGTGATCCGAACGGGAGTGTCTTCGTCGAGGAGAGACGAATACGATTCAAAGGATATTGTACAGTTTCTTGACAATACGACGGAAGACAATTTTGCACATGACAAATGTTAAAAAAAAAAAAATAAGAAGAAGAAGGAATTGAAAAAAAGAAGATAGAGAAGAAGATGATGGAGAGAAAATTCATTGCATCGTCCACGTGGATGTAAAATGCATAAAGATGTATAAATGGTGCATGCGAGAGGTGCTTAGTAGTAGATAATTTATTTCTCTGTATATTGTTACTTAGGATGTATTTTAGGATGTCGTTAACGCTATTTTTTTTTTTTTTTTTTTTGTATTATTATAGAACGAATGAGGCGAGATACGTGTAAAATATAGAATGGAGATTAATCAATTGATCAACGAAAATAATATACAAAAATGAGAGAAGATTCTTTGTACATAGCACCGATCTGTTTATTTAAAAGTTTTTCTCAACTTTTTCTTTTTCGTTTCGTTACCCAGCACCTAAAGGTAGCCAGTAAATCAGCATTTACCAAGGTAGATTGTATGTATAGTCTGCATAAATATTGGATTATTATTGTAACGTGAGTTTCGTCTCGAATAAATCACTGGAAACTGTACCCACATTACTCAATGTCTACATTTATTATTTCCAGACGTTTTCGCATGGTTTTTGCAATTTTCACGGTTCTTATTAATTTTAGATGTTACAAATTTGGGATTCTGAGAAGGATTGAGAAACGTCGAACGAATTTTCACAATCTAAATATATATCGTTATTCTAAATCGAATCTTTGCAACTACTAAATTATTATTTTTGAGAAAATTCCCCAAGGTTATTGTAATTAATGGGCTGAAAATCATAATGCTATAGGTTGCTTCAATGCTATTTTTCTTTTAATGTTATATACATAATAATAGGTTATAAAAACATTTCGTAGCAGAAAACGAAATTATAACTAATGAACTATATTAATTATTGAATTAAGGCTGAACAATGAGCTAAGCTAAAAACCGTATGACTAACTCATATTTATTAAATGTTTACGATTAAGAAAAGAAACAAATACAAAATCCTTTCAAGTATCTCTAATTAATATAGGTTGAAGTCAAACGAGTCACGCGCGCGTAAAAAATAGATATGCATGCATCGACACGGTTAAACGAATAAACAAATTAGTTTATGATTGATCGAGGACATATTGAGGGCATTGGAGAACTCCCCACCACCAAACGAAACCGCGTGTCCAGAGATAAGCTAACCCATAAGACAAACGATGGCGCTGAGATCAGTTCGTTTTGTTGTCATGAGTCACATTTACACTAAGTTGTTTTTACCAGGTTTTTAGTCGAACGTTTAATTTTGTATTCCTCCATTTCGCTTCGATTCAACGACAAAAAATGCCAAGAATAATACGGACCATACGAATGAAACTTCCTAACGAATAACACGAGTGATAGTTGCCATTGTGTGCTAACACTCGACATTCAGGTTAGAATCCGATAACCCACTTTTTACTGAGCTCAGTACTTATTTTCTCCTTCAGATCGTTGTGTAATAACCTTTATTTTATTTCCTTACAAATTTTAAACTATTTAAACCATGTGTCAGTAGAACGAATTCTATGAGTTTTATGTATTGCCAAATTTTGGCCATTTCTATAATAATGTCATTATGTCAACCATTATGTCAACAGTCTTTTTCTTTTTGGAAAATAATAGTATCGTTAATTACTGTGTAAGATTTTAGTCTTATAAAGTAACAGGTTTAGAACGATTTGATAGCATTGAAATCTGATCGCATTTGTATGATGTCTCAGGTAATATTTATTAAATGGTGATTACCAGTGCCATGGAGAGGAGAATCAAGTTGAAAACACTGAACAGCCACATAACGTGCAAGATATGCAAGGGATACTTGATAGATGCCACTACTGTTACCGAGTGTTTACACACATTTTGCAAAAGCTGTCTAGTAAAACATTTAGAAGAGAAGCATACCTGTCCAACATGCCAAATTGTCATACATCAGTCACATCCCCTCCAATATATTAGCTTTGACAGAACTATGCAGGATATTGTCTACAAATTAGTTCCTGATCTTCAAGAGAGTTAGCATTGTCTTACCATTAATAAAACTGATAAGATAACTTAAAAATCCTCTATAACTGACAACACGATTAATCTGGTATATTTATCTTCAGATGAAATTAAAAGAGAAAGAGAATTTTATAGAGCCAGAGGTTTACCTTGCCCTAAAGATATCCTACCAAATGCTGGAGATGTTGAGGAAGAAAAAGCAACAGCTGATGCACATGCAGAATCAGACTATCACCGTACTGATGAGCAGGTAAAGAGAGATAAAAATTGTGTACTCTATATTTGAATAAGTTTTGATAATTATAAACAGCAAATGTTTTCACAGGTTAACGTATGTTTGGAATGCATAAATACAAGCTTGAAAACTTTAAAACGAAGATTTATTAGGTGCTCTGCCCAGGCAACCATTACACATTTGAAAAAGTTTATTGCCAAGAAAGTGTTAAATGGAATGGAAAAATATCGGGATGTGAGTAAAAATTATGAAAAATTCATATCATAATTTATATTGCATTACTAATTAATGATGCTCTTTGCAGATTGATATATTGTGCAATGATGAATTATTAGGCAAGGACCACACGTTAAAATTTGTTTATGTAACAAGATGGAGGTTCCGGGACCCACCTTTAAGGTTACAATATAGACCACGAATAGACATATAAGACTAATATCTCTATGTTCGATATGCGATGAAAATCACAAAAAATCTTGTACCTATTTTATACGTTTGCTAGTTCTATCCGTGTATTGCTCGTCATAGTACTTATTTCTGTGTTTTTGGCACAGTAAAGAAATTTAATTCCGAGAATAATTTCCTGCGACGAAACAGAGTTGCTTTACACCTGCAATTTTCTATCCCAGCAATAGAAAGAATTGCTTTAACCAGATTACCAATAATCATTAACACGGCATATTGTTACGATAGCAATTCTATACATTCGATTATCATTTTATTCCTTTCTAGTTAAAGTTTGGGATCGTTTGCATATTATCTTCGATTGAGTTACATTAACTCGCCTTTCTGATGTTCGTTACGAATTATTGATCTATATTTGTGTAACGCATAAATATAAGTAGATGAAGAAATCATAGCGACACTGTGACAACGAGAAGGTAACTTTTTCGTTCGCTGACAGTATCGCTAAATGCGATTCTAAATGTTTAGTTTTATATTACCGTGACGCACCTTGCGTGTTCTCGTATCGATCCTTTATAAGTAATGTTTTTAGTTCGGAGATACAGAAATAGCAATCGGTATGTGTCACGGATAAAAATTTGTTGCTTTCCCGCGCATGGCAACAGAACAAAAGATCATCTTTCTTCTTGTAATCTTAAGACGTAAATTTCTTTTTATACATACCCTAATTGTATATAGAATATTTTTGACAGAATCCCGAATATTTGACAGAATATTTGACAGAATATTGCGCGTAGACACAGCTTTGTATTAGAGAAAGGGGAAAAAATGGAAAAAATAACCTGGGTCTAAGTACTGGAAGATTTGGACCCTTTTAACTTTGTATGTTTATGCGCTGTACACATTCTAATTCAGGCCCCGAGTTTCACTCAATACCAGGATACAAAAGAATTTTATCAAACATATTTTCTCGAGGGATTTGATAAGGACAACGATGCGTTGAGCGAAACAGGCAGGGCCACATATCGCTTAGTAGTTAAATGAACTTGTTTTGGCGAACAGTGTAAAGTGAAGGAAACAAAGTTGTGTGATTGTATATAAATATTCTAGAGGGAAGAAATAAATAAAGTGCAGTTTACTTTACAAAGTAACGGCATTTTATGAATGCCAAGGCTTGTATGTTGTACACTATGTGTGTATCTCCATAAATTATTAAATAAATATTATGTTTTGTACAGTATCAACTGAATCGATTAACAAGAATTCAATTATCATCAAAAAAGTAAGAAACTTATAAACTGCGAATGTTTATGCAAATTTATATCTTTGTATGCAGTGGCTACAAAAAATATTTGCATATATTCTTATTTTCCAATGAAACATCTTTTTATCAGGTTCTATATTTAATTGTTATTATACTAACTTTTGTAGTCATATGAAAGTATCACTAAATAATATGAACCTTACTGTGCTTGCATTTAATTAATTAATATGTAAATACTATAACAAATATAATGTGCAAATTCAGGGTGATTTATAGATGTATGTTAGTATTTCAGAAAATGAATCTACATAATAAAATAAATAATGAAAATTATATGAACATTTGCTCTACGTATCTTGGTTTTTGAGTTCATATGACGTGTTTTACTTATTTTAATGTGTAGATTCGTCCCTTAAAGTATTGACACTTATCAGTCACTTTTTATAGTTACTGTTTGAATATTTTATATATTTTTATATATATTACGTGTATTTTGTACATTACTACATCTATAAATTTGTATAATATATGCATAAACATCTGTAGTCTAGTTGCAAAATTCTTTCAAATATCTTAGTCTGTTGAAATGATGTAACGAATTTTTTGAATCGTATTACAGACAAAATGGCGGTAAATTATTATCTAACATTGCGTGGCCACCAAACAGATGCTAAGAAGGTTTATTCACAGAATACTAATTCCATCCGAATAATACAAAGCTACCTTGCCCCACTATTTAGAAAGTCTCTATACACCTTTCAAATATTTTCAAAAGAATGAGAGAACTTGAATCATACAGTTATGCAATAATGATGTTCACGTAAAAAACCATGCAATTCTTAGTTTTTCGATCGATGACACATTTCATATTTTTCAGTCAAAAAATTCGTTACAAATGCTTGCAATTCCATTTTACGAAACAATATTACGATATTAATAGATTAGAGTACACAAACTTACATTAATTTTTCAGACGAAATGCATAGAAATAAGCACCACATTTACGCAGGTAAAATTTTGCACCAAACTAAGCTAATTTCATCATCAAAACACATTTCATGTTACCAAATCTAAGAAGATTCCTTACAAATGCTTACAATTCCATTTTACAAAAAGATATTACGAAATTAATGAATTAGAATGTAAAACTTATATTAATTTCGATACGATACTTCCGCGCGTAAAATTTCGCATCAAAATGGCTTCGCGATTTAAAAAGGTACGCCTGCGCAGTAGCTATACAGGCAGAAGCAAATGAACGCATGCGCGATACATTCTAAGGTAGTTTATGGTCAATGTGCGTCGAGTAGAGACCGTGGCTGCACTGCAGCAACACGGTAAACGTGGATTCGTTGAACTCTGTATGAATTTAATTCTGAGTGTCAGTAATTTTCTCGTATGTCCGATCTGCGCGCAGTTTCGCAGATAAATGAGCTTGCAAGATAGCCTTTTCTCCGAGGACGTGGAGCACGACGTGACTCTATTTTCAAGGGACAAGAAACGGAAAAGGTAGGAGAGCCAAACGATCACATTTCCTGATGCAACGACGCGCCTTTAAAGGTTAGATCACTACGGTCTTTTCACAACGTGTCTTCAAACATTTTTCACTTTCAATTTCTACGAACGTCTATGATACTACAACGTAAAGTTTTCTCCGAGGAATCATCGGTATTAAATCTCTTAAAGATATATCTCAACAATGTAAAAGTACTTGACGTTTGTCAATCACGCAAGAAAATGAGATAATATACGCTGTCATAAATAGAATCGATTTGATAACCCGCAATTTTTATTGGCGATTTAGTTTAGAATGTTAGCAGAGACGCGTTATGTTAAATTTATTTGTATCCTTGACACACAATCTGAAATTCAAAGGCAATTAGAATTAACTTTATAACCTAAATGATTTAGGATACCATAGAACTGTTGAAAAGTGTTCAATGTGTTTGTTATTGATGTGTTTTATGGCCTCTGTGCAGTATTTATAAATATCTTGCACTAAAGGTAAATGGTTGATATCGTTGTCTTCCAGACAACGTATATTGGTCTGTATTACTGCAAGTGATTAAAATATTCGGAAATTAAGGTGTACATATACACAGGCTACTTTGACTTTGAAAAAATATAAATTTCATACTAAATACAAATTTGAACGCTGATTAATTTATTTGCGCTTTTAAGACAATCGTAAATATGCATTTTGACTATAAACCAATATTTCTTGTTTGCACTGAAGATCTTTACATCCAGCATTTACATCATTTACACTCCTGAACAAGAAAATAGCACAATGTGTAAATTCGTAAAACTTTATTCGATAATGAAGAAAAATAGAAAAATAATAAACTTCTTTTGAATATAAACTTACAATATGAAATGCTCTCGGAGTATAAATACGTTTTTCTTACCCGTAAAATTAAAAACTACAAGAATTCAATGAGTCAAACTGATAGCACATACTACGAAAAAATGAAAATTTACTTATATTTACTGAAAATAATACAATGTTAGTATTTTGTGGAGCCCCCTTTCTGTAAACCGTTCTTGCAAGCTCTCCCCAATAATTTTCAATTCAGAAGATCTTGCTGTCCGTTGCAGAACGCCCATTTTTTTTTTTTTTTTTTATCAACAAAATATTTTATAACTATCTGTTGAACGACAGTACTATCTTACTGGAATATATAATTTTTATCAGTACTTGTTACTGCATGTGTTTGTATCTTCAGTTCAATATACCTTTAACTATTCATGCAACTTTATACAAAGACAATTTTCGTTTTTCTATGATAACCAATACCTGCCCATACCATGATGCTTCCTTAGCATCTTAGTTGTCGGCTGCTTGAAACTTTTTCTTCTGTCCATACATCGTGGTAATAATATTTACATCTATCAGGGCCATGTGAAATTATTATGCTATCTTTTTATTCATTCGAAGTACAATGTTTACATCTAAGGATTACTAACATCGACTCAAAAAGCTTGTTTTACAAGATGTACATAAGAAAGACTGTATTTCCATATATACCTCACACATATTATCAAAGTTACAAAATGTGTTATCTTTTTTTCTGCGAGTGTAACATTTCGATTCTTCAATTATTAATGATATAAAATCGAAATTCTTTCGTAAATTAACTTGATATAAATTAAGTAGTGTAAAAAAATGAAACGAGATCACAATCAATTGTCGCGTGATAAAAATATTCATAGATTTTCTTGTTTATAATAGATTGTTCCATTCCATCCTCAGATTGTTCCATTACATTAGACCGTTTTTTCTTTTCTCACATTCCCCGCGCATTTCAAACGTTTACGCGTTTTATTTTTCGCTGTACATTTATATTTTTAGCAAACTACATAGTGTTTTGAGAAACATAAAAGAACTGTGACGCATTGGCAGGTTGCCTGAAGAAAATAAGAATGCGTTTCATAGATGTCAATAGTTCTAATTAACATTTCTGTTTTTAATTAACATCATATGGTTCCTTGCACTTGATTTAGAATATTGCAGTAAGATGGGAATACATAATAAGTTTTTAAGTTACGGTTATTAGTTAATTAGCCCTCCGTAGATGGCGGAAGTTGCGTACGTCGCTAGATAACAAAAGAAAATTTGTACGAAACGTAAATTTTAATGGAACGTATTATCTCCATCAACGACAACGAAAATAATGTACCATACGGTTACACAAGATTAACTGTCACTACAAACACATATTATATAAGAATACCGTAATATGTACAGTTCTTTGATTATTCAATATGCAGTTCCAATATTTCATAAATATTTCATGGACCGTTCGTAATTAAGCATATTCTATCCTTAAAACTTTTAAAATACAATTTGTAGATATTTTATCGATAAAAAATGTTTAATGTCATAATTACTTTGCTTAAGAAATAAGATAATAAAAAGGAAAGGAAAGAAAGCCCCGATCGTCCGCCATATTGAATAATTGTTTAGGTTTAGATGACAAATAGGAAAATTTATTTCTTTTGGCGAAAATTTTGCTATAATTAAAAAAAAAAGAACGCAAACTACTCGGAAGATTAACTAACTCTATAAAACGTTCAATATCTCTGAAGGTAGTAAATATTAGAAGCCCAATAACGACGATGTAAGCGTCAAAAATATCATACGTGTGTTAACCCAAAAAATCCTCACCTCTTTCACTTACGTCATTTGCCACCTAAACTCGTTAATTATTGAAATCACGCGTCAGGGGGACAGATGGTCGATTTTGAATGGCACGAATAATTGTTAATCTATGGAGTGCAACCGGTCTCTCGTCGTATGTCGCTCACGTATACGCATGATTACGTGAACCACGCAACACTTACGAGTCGCACGGGACTCTGTTTCTTCTTTGTAGTTCAAGGCTCGTCGATTTAGTCGTCTCTGAAACGTAATTAACATAGATCTTACTCTTGGAACGACGATTCATCAACCGGATCAGACGATAGCGTGGAACGGTTGTTTTGTTCGGTCTGTTGCAGTCGATTTCTTTTTCTTCTCGGCTTTCATATCTGGCTATAAGAGAAAGAGAAGCGCAGAGAACCCCGATTTATCACGCTACATGGTTCGTTCCACCTGAACGGTTGGCATGTAATTTAACTATCGTGAAACGACGTTAAGGTGAGAATTTTATCTTGTTTTCCAGCATCCATATTGGTCTAGATAGTTTTATTTATCTACCGAGACTGAAATTGCCTTCCACTAGATCTTGAGAGTTCGTTTCCTATTTCCTACTTTTTGTGTATTGCTTGCGCCTGTTCTAATGCTCTCAATGCTTTCTAAAAACATCCGGTTACGACGTTACACATAATAAATTCCGCCTTTATCCGACCGTTTTATTCCGGTTGAACGTAATAGCCGGTTTCCATGAAATCTGATTATGTATGTGAAATGTAACACGGTTGTAACGGTGGTGATGTCGGCGCATAATGGAGAATTTGTATCGGAAAGTTGGCCAAAAGTCGATTTCAGAAATTTTGTTTCGCTTGCAAAATTTTCATTCACAAAAAGAATCGGATACATTACGAATAAATTATTAACGACCTTTTTCTTTGTACGTACGGCATTGAAGTACTTTGAAAGTTTACAGTTGAGTCATTCGATTGCTCTACGAAATAGCATAAAGATAAATTTGGAGAGCCTTAAGCAAATAGTATTAAATTAAGAGAATTATTCAGAGGAAGCATTTAGGCATGAAATATCTTATATAAAATCAGAGTTTAAATATAGATAGTTATGTAAGTTGCAAGGAGAAAATTTTCGAAATAAATGATGAAAGAATAATCAAGAAATTGTTTTTTACATGATCCATAATTTTAATATCGCAATAAGTAATCAGTGTTTAATTAAAAATCAAACAATATTGATGAAGTTAATCGATGTGGCTTGTATATGATCCGAGCGAAAATATTTTTAAGATAATATTTTTTTACTAAAAAGTTGTCCTACATCTTTGCCCAACTTTTTCATGCAAATATCCGTATTATGTGTCTGTGGAATGGCCGAAATGATACGTGATTATTCGGACCAAGGATGGCTCTAATTTTAAGAAAATCACAGAAGGAGAAAGTGAAATGTTATGTAAAAGTTAGCCTGCCTGTGTTCATCTGACAGGATACGGGCAAAGTGGCCCGGGGCAAGGCGGTTACGTTCACCCGTCCTCAGTCCAGTCTCACTTTCAGCCGTGATCGTAACGCGTTCTTTTCACTTTTGCAGGGTACTCGTCTTTCCACCTGTAAACAACTATCGAAGATATATTATACACCAGCTGGTGCAGGACCGTTTTGCCGATCTGCATACATTCTCGATCGGCCAGGGTTCTGCCAGACGGACAGTCGTGTGTTACAAAAGTGACGTGATAAGGTATCGAAGTGCCTATTGTTATGATACATGTATTATATATATAGATAGTGACATTGCTTCGTTAAGTGGCCGTTGCTATCCCCACCACTCCGATCTTGCTTCGTGAAGTGAGCCTTTGATGTTGCGTACAGTCCATCACAAAGGTCTTCGTTCATCACCATCAAGTTCGAAGTATTCTAATCAAGATGTTAGATCCTACAATATTTTTGGTATTCAATTCTGTATTAATTGCAGTTAAATGTATATTTAAATAAATATCACAGTTCCTTACGTCTGTATTTAAAAAAGAAAAGAACTGAAGAAATACAAAATATATAAATGTATATACGTATGTCTATAGGTACGTTATAGCTCTCTATAGGTATCAATTGCAGTTTACTATCTTTTTAGCAGTAATGGAATTAAAGGTTTTGTAATTACTGGTATAACCGTTTTAAGATCTTCGTAATCTAAATATTTATGATTTCTTCAAGAAATACATTAGTATACTGAGCATAATGAGAACTATTTTGTATTGATATGTAAGTATAGATGATTCTGTAGCAAAGTTTATTTTTCATTTCCTTTATGATTACAATTGTGTCTATAGACTTTTACAACTGACTGTATATGATATAAACAAGCACATACATGCCTCTCTCGATAACTAACTAGATACAATCCCGTGGTCATTTAGCAAAGTGCTATTACATTCAATCGTTTCAGTGATATATCACCTGAACAAATCACAAAGTGTAGGATTTCATTATTTCCTGTTGTGAATCATTTAATGATGCCCCTCCATCGATAACCTATCAATAAAGAAGACATTCTGATAACAATTATAGTTCAGCGATTTCTATAATAATTGTAGATAAATATATAGTGTTTGTGTTAAATTGGAGAAGAAATTGTTACTATATTTTAATAGTATATTTTATGAAGTGGATTTTATGTAAAAAATGGATTAATTTTTAATAGATTTATTATAAAGTTAGTAAAAGTACTAAATTATAAACTCTCAATGTTTTTGTATCACGGAATACACCTATTTCTTCGCATAAGATGCAATATCATTTTAACGCGATTAATTTAAAAACGATTATATTAATGCTCGATTCCTTCGAAAGTAGAACTCGTTCTAGATTGAATCAGATTTACGCGAAATTCACAGACGATTCTAATACTGTTACGAAATGAGTTTACAAGAATGAAATTCTTACGACGTAGCAGCAGTAAACGAAAGTGAAACTGACCGGCTCAAGGTCGCGTGACGTAGTACTCAGACGCGTCAGAGAACTATTTAACCGACTTAAAAAAGAAGTATTAAATTAATTATAAAATAACAAGGTTATAATATTTTATTTTTCAATATTCAAGGGACCCAAAATTGAATGGTGAACAGTGTACAACAAGTTGTGTAACGAAAGGTACTGGTACCTTGTTCGAGATGGGCGTTGAAGGTCGACGATCGCCCTCTGCATCTCCAGAACGCGTACGAATTCAAAGACAAGGTAATTAAAAACTTATATTGAAAACTTCATATCTGAAAAAGATAGTGTAAAGTTAATTAAATTTGTCATTCGAACTTTTAGTAAAATCAACGCCAACGGTTGAAATCTATAGGCCGCCAGCTGCCAGGAGGGCCAGAAATGAACTTCAAACAAATATGGACCAAATTCAAATACAAGCAGCTGCAGATTCGTCTACTGCAAAGTAAGAAATTGTAAAAATACTTTCGTCTATTTACTTTTCTTATAATTCAAAGAATAAATTGTAAATATCTTTAACTGAATTTTATTAAGATCTTCTCGCCAGAGAAGGCCAGATCGCGCAGTTTATGTACCAAGACATCGTAGAAGTTTGGAAACAGAAGGGAGTCCTCAGCCAGTAGAATCTATTCGTGTGAGTCGTTCAGTTAAGGACAATCCGTCCTCTGCTTCTCATGGCCAATCAAAATCAAGTTTAGATATCAAAGAAACAGATTCTAGTTTACAACAAAGTATAGAATGTGAACAAAAGGAACTAAATACGTGTTTTGATGATAATCAAAGTAATGATGAATCTGAAATTAATATCTGTCTGCAAGAAGATCCAAAGGACCCGACTTCTTCTGTTATTCCAAAAGGACTTACGATGGAAACTAGTGATAAAATAACAACTAAGCAGTTAGATAATCTAAATGAAGATGTGCCAAATGATACAGACAGTACTACTGCTCCTGAAACTAAATGTGAGACAACTGATACATTTCATTCAGGAATTATTGAAGAACAAGAAATCTCTAGTAATTCTAGTGAAGATAACAATAACTTAGACTCAGTTGAGACATGTATATATAGTGAAGTTAATGTTAATGAAGAAATAGACAGATCTGATAAATGTAATAACGATATTGTTGTAACTAATTCAAATGCAAATAACAAACAACATTCGGAAATTTCAAATAAGGACGAGATAACAAACCAAAAGAACACGCAAATGATGCGTTGCAATATGGTATCAAACGTGCTGATTATCTCAGATAGTGTACAGAAAGAACCACAACAACCTAATAAGGAAGTTATTCCTATTCCTACAGCACTACCAGAGAAGAAAGTAAAAAAGGTTGTGCGGCAGAAAAGTAAACCTGCACCTCCACCTTCTCCACCAATTAAAAAGATTAATAGGGATGAATGTGACTGGGACAGTTTATTCGACGATAATGGTGATTGTCTAGATCCAACTCTTATCGAGGAGGCAAGTATTTATGAATTTACCATTCACCAACATAAAACGACAAAACTATGTACTTTTTTAATGTTAATTACTTTTATTTCAGTTAACAGCGGCTGTTGGTAATGTTGTGATAGAACAACCGAAAAGCGATTACAAACCGTACACTAAACACATCGAGGTATCTAGCGACGAATTTGCTCATGTTGTTGAAATTTACAATTTTCCATCAGAATTTAAAACCAGCGATTTAGCAGCTGTTTTTAGTCCTTTTAAGAATGGTGGGTTTGAACTAAAGTGGGTAGATGACACACACTGTCTTGGAGTCTTCAGTAGTCCTCTTGTTGGTAATTAGAAACGAGTCAAAATTACACCGACATTATCAGTAACAAGTGCTCACCCGTTAAATCGGTTTTAGCTGCTGAAGTATTGGCTTCGGACCATCCATTTGTTAAAACACGACCCTTGAGCGAGGCCACAGCCTTGAGTAAAACAAAAGCAAAAAGGAGCGCGGAATTTTTACAGCCGTACAGAAGTCGTCCAGAAACTTGCGCAGCATTAGCTAGACGACTGGTTACGGGTGCTTTAGGTGTAAAATTAGCTACTGCTAGGCAGGAACGCGAACATGAGAAAAATGTATTACGTGAGGCTAAAGGTAAATATTATTTACACAAAACACTTCTCACAGTTTGAAGCTTAAAAAAGCTTTAAAAAAGCAGAAATAAGTTGTTTTTTCTTTGTTTCTAGAAAAACGTAGATTAGCCAACAAACAGCGAGAAGATGCCTGGGAAGGCATTATACCTGAAAAGTAGCATTATTTGTTGGAAATATAATGTTCATACATTGAGAATTATTTACATCATTATGTAAGTGTTTTATGGCATTTACATGAATTTGTGCCTTACTCATCTATTCTCATTTTTGACAAACTCATTTTTGTCGAACTGATTTGGCGATTGGTTTTGGGAACACGGGAAATTGCTTGCCAATAGATGAGTGTGGCATGACAAAAGTATCAATTAACGGATATACTTGTTTAGGACTGGTAGAATGAACTTTCCAGTGCTTGTTTATTTTCTATGTATTATGCATATCATAATATTCAGACCAGTTGAATGAGCGTGCCTGTTGTACTATTTTCTAATGGAAGGGTATTAAAGCATTTTAACTAAACATCTAGATGAGGGCGATTTACAGCCTTGACATATTAGTGAAACTATATAAAAAAGAACACAGATGTAAAAGCGTTTTATGATATACATATACGGTTATTCTTACCTCGACAGTTGCCTCTCTGTTATAAATTTATATATACACGATAAACAATGCTGTGTTGTGCAATTGTAATACAAGACAATAAGTTAGAATGATATAAACCGAGGATATCCTTTTACACAAGCACGCATGCGTGGACATACATCGATATGCTACAATGACATGTAATCACAGCGTGTCTTCACAGAGTTATGATTTTAGGGTAATGAATTTTACTGAAATATGAAGTGGCATTTTATTATTATATGCAATGTAAGATTATTGTAGTTACGAATTATGCCACTTATTATATTACATATACATATATAAATCTGTTACATGAATGTTAAAGATTTGACGCACAATCACAATATATCAACAGGAATTACAGATTTACTAAGAGAAAAAAATGAATTTGACACAGATTGTATTTTTATATACAATTGTTACCAACAGAGAAATAAAGATATGTATTGCCAAATCCTAGTCAATGTATGCAAGGAATATGTTACCTATATTGTATATTATATTGCAGAATTTTGTCAAAAATTGACAAGAGGATTAAAAGAAAAAGGGAATAAAAATATTTTATATATCATTCTTTTGTATATATTTTCAATCCTGGTAGAACTTAGTTACATTTTAATCTAATGACAAATTCAGAAGTTAAAAATTTACAATGATGAAACGATACTGGTATAAAGTAGTACGTTCGTTTAAAAATGGCAGTATTTTTTACTGTACATATGTACAGCGATAAAAAATATATGTATAATTGAAAAAGTTATACGACTTGTCAATGAGATGTATCGTTCAATCATCCATCTTTCTAGCAATATTGAAATATTATACATGTTTTGGACAAATACGAATTACTTGTTTTACCATTTTCCTCCTTTCTTTTTCTTTTTTTGTTGAACCTTACGTTGCTGTTGTCGTGGGCCGGAACTTTCTACCGCTGGACTATGTCGAGGGTTGGGAGAAGGTTTCGCATTTGTAGGCATCTTAGTAATATCACTGTAACGATAAGTGATAATAAAAGTTATTAATTGTATGTATATTTTTAAATTAAATAATAAATGTGTGAATTAATACATACTACATATCACTAGCTACAGCTGCAGCACCTTGTGTGCCCTTCATCGCAGCATCTCGATTTCTCCTATCTCGTTTCTTCCTAAATCCACTACGTTCGTGTCTGGGTAACCATCGTTCAGGATCAGGTGGAACATTTGGATCATAGTTCTTAGGTAACTTTCCTTTGCGTTTACGTTTTTTCTTTTTCTTTTGTGTTATATCGACAACGGGTTTGCTACACAATAGAGTTATAATTATTAATTTTATTGAGAATTTTATTATCGAGACTATATTAAGAGAATAATACTTACCCAGGAGATGGTTCTATCTTCTTCTTGGTCATTTTGGTACCAATTACCCAGTTACTGTTCTCCAAAGCATCAACGTCGATCGTTTCAGAAAGGTCATGTAACGGTGGCAGACGTTTTGATAGCAATTGTGCCTTTTCTGGACGAAATTGCACATAAGCCACCACCAATTGCGCTAATGTCTTAGTATCGCAAGGCGCAGCATCTACCATTTCTTGTAAAATATCAGCTGCCATTTTAATTTCTCCTCCGCGTAGATAAAAATCAGCGGCTTGTCGCCATAATTCTCCTAAATTAGCAGTAGCGTCCTAAAATTGAATATCAAAGGTTATACTAAATCGAGTTGAAAAAGAAAGAAATTAGATTAAATGCACCTACCTTATTTTTCTTATAATAGTTAACTGCATTTTTTAGAGCATCTGATGCTTTTTCACGATTATTATTAGCCATATGAAGAGTTACAAGTGCGCTGACTATGCCAGGTAATGATCTGTCTCTTTCACTCAGATTTTCAAGAATATCAATTGCCTCTTGTCTTTCATCCTGACTCAATAAGAGTTGCACACAAACCAGTTTCATTTGCAATTCTTTATCTCCAACTGCATACTGTATTAATAACTTTGCTGCTTCCTTTGCTTTACCCTCTTTACCAAGTTGTACTGCCTTAACAAACATTGCATCCACAGCCAGTGCAGGATGATCCTTAGCTAGTTTATTGCAAAGTTGCTGACACTGGTCTGCCTGCAAGGACATAAGTTATAGAATAATGATATGTGAACAATGATCAATAAAACAGTGTATTACTAATTGAGTTTATACCTGATCAGTGTATAAAGCTAGCAAGCACTGATTGTATGCAATGTTCCGTCTCTGTCTAGAAGTTAATTTATGTTCTAAGCTATCATGAGTAGCGCTTTTCATTCTTTTTTTACTATCAAATACATTTTGATCTTTATTAAGGCACACAAGGTTATTGCTTGCAACTGCTACTAGAGCTATGTCATCTGGTTTTGCTTTCAAAGCAGAAATGTACAATGCTTGAGCTTCTTTCTCGCGACCCTGAAGCTGTAGACAATATCCAAGTTGAACTCTAATAATTCCTAATTCATCTTCTATTTCTTCTTCAGCAACTCCATCTTCCTCTAAATTTTCTTTACACTTTTTCTCAGCTGCTCTAAGCTTTTTTTCTGCCTCTATCAAGATGGCTTTATCACCTTTGCTACTTTGTGCAATTAAACCACAAGCTGTATTATATATTAATTCATATGTATCTTCGCGTAATGCAGGAACTTCTAAGTTCTGTTAAAAAAAATATAAATTACAATAAATATAAATTAACATATACTTAAATAACATTATCTGTTAAGGACTTACAGAATCCTCAATTGCTAAATTTACAACCACTGCTGCAAGATTAGCTTCCCTTTCATCTTCATATTCATCGTGAGAATTTTTTATAATGTCTCTGTACACAGAGAAACATTCTTCATATTTTTCTAGCCTATACAGTATCTGAGCCTTCAGTTCCTTGAGTTTCAATGAAGGATTTGAAACATTTTCTACTACCTTCAAAGCGTCCTGCACTTGATTCAATCTATATAAACAATATGCTTTCTCGAAATCTAAATTGCTAAAAAATATTTATTTGTTATTAGAATTGTACGAAGTGAATATTAATTAAAATAGAAAAGTTTTAACACTAATATATAATAAATGGATGACATACCCTGATAGTTTTGGATTCTTAGTAATAAACTGGAGTGCATCATTGAATTTAGATAATTGAATATAGCAAATAACTTTACAATGGAAAGCTGCTTCTTCATCCTGGGAAATACCTAAAACTGAAAAATTTTCTATTGTTGAGAATATGTTGTTCTTCGTAAATGGGACACAGGTTATGTTGATAGTAAACTCGTAGAATTGAAAACAATTTGTAAGATCACGAAAACTTACTCTTATTAGCAATTTTTATTGCCCGCTCGTATTCACCATTTTGCCCTAATTTATTTAATTCTCCGTATAATACAGGAAAATTGTTTTCCTTTGTGGCCATGTTGCTCACTTTGCGGTCATGTCCAACGTGGAACTAATTTATGACTACCGAATACAGCATAATGTTCCAAGAACAATTTTAATAAAAGTTATTGCTTATAAAGTATAGTTTATGTACCTATTTGAAAGAATTAGACATTGTTTAAAATATTTGATAGTAATTAAACAATGTATAGCAAACAAATTTAATTAAATTAAATTTATTTATTAATACTACTCAAATTTTTTTTTAAAGCATTCAAAGATTAGGTAATTACAATATTTAATTTCAGTTGAAGTAATATAATAATACTTGTGTATAATATAACTGAAGATAACACCACTTTGATATTAGTCTTAAAATTATATTAGAAACGCAATAAAAAAGTTTTATTTGTCGGAAGTGAGAAATGTAAGAACAAAGGAATAAAAAAGAATGAGTTAAATTTCCATGTTACTCAAATGCTTATTCATTTCATTAAAATTATATATATACACATACGTTAGAATTATGTACAATTTACAATTTTCAGTTCAGCATATACATACATAGCATAGAACTAACACCATAAACGTAATATAAAATAGATTTTATGTCTTATAGAAATTTGTGTTGTTATCATATTATATGTTCTGCAATACCAAAGCTGGTAATACCTACTTTAAATGGTAATCAGAATGTTTTTTACGCCCTCTGCGAATTATTGCGGTGAACAAAGGAATTATACACTTATTTATACTTCAATAAAATATCGATATTTAAGTTATCGATACAAATTTAAATTTCAATGGCTCATCAAATTTAAAACATTGCATGAGAATTATTCTGCTTTTTATTACAACTGCAATTTAAATTCAAACTACCATTCATTGTAACTATTTTCATAATTAACAAAATGATTTATATTCTAACATAAATTTTAAAATGGAAGTAGATAATTACAGTAGATAAATAACACTTGGAGACACGAGGACAAGATGGTGAAACAACTTGTATTTTGACTATGCGAACAAAGATTTAAGTGTCAAATAATATGTACATTATTATAATTTATTAATTTAAATCTATAAATATTTTGTGCAAAATAAATTACGAAATGCATCGAGTTGCAAATTAAACCATTTCATTTCAGCAGTTTGATTTTTAGTTAGAATATGTATAAACTCCTGATCTCCAGGAAACACTGTATCAAGTTACTAGCTTGCTTACATTCGTTGCCACCAGCTAAAATGACAATGAGTAAAGATTATTAAATTACTCTTTTTAAATGGCAAATAATTTACAAAAAATTTTGTTTAATATTTAAAATAAAGTCAGATTTCTTAGTAATAATTTTTTATTCACCGATGTTTTTGCATTTATCGACCATTTCATCAGCCATTAGCGCGTCAGCTCCATAGGTTATTAACTGTCTCTTGGCAATGTTTACCCAAAGGCGACCATTCTCTTCTACCTGTGTTATGGAAATAAAAATGTTTTTTTCTTTACTTCCTTCCATATGCGGGATGTTATAAGAAAAGAATTTAACACATCAGTTATAATTCACAGAAAAGAGTAAGAGATGCCTTATCAACATACAAATCATAAAATCAATACTTTCGATGTTAGGTTAATTTTGTACTCATAACCTATTCTAATTAATGTGAAACGATCTAAATCGAACTTTTCATAAAAGTTTGATAGAACGAGAATGTCTAATAGAATTTCTTCTTATGACAAAGTTTAAACACTTTTTTCCCATTTGCACCGATAAACGATATAGTCAACCATCGACGATGAATAATATAGTTATATAAAATGCGTATCTCGTGTAATACGAAATATGGGAAAATATTTGAAAAAGTGTTCTTGTATTGATATGTTCTTCACCTTTTTCTGCTCTTCATCGAAACGATTGATTTTAGAAAGTATGTTGATAGGCATTATAGGTTTACAAAATCGTGGAACTTGTTTCATTTATGTAATTTAATTCAAAGAATACTTTGTATGATATGATTTATATAATTTCGTTACTTACGATTCCCTTTTTCCTCAGCATACAGTACGTGTAACAACCAAGTCTCTCGTCTGCCTTAGATATAATGCCTTCCTTAGCACCCTGTATTAATTCTGAAGTTTGATTAATATTGACTAAGGTTTTCCATTGTTTGCAATTTATTTCGTTGTTTGCTACTTACTTGGATCGATACTAGTCTCTGTGATACAAGATGCCCTGAAACGTTCCACCTTGGCTTTTATGCTATTTGAAAATGCCTGGAAATATTACAACACGTTATAAAGACTTTAAAATATAAATAAATATTGAGTGAAATGTTGTTAATAGTTTAACTATAAATGATTCAAGCTTGCAGGTTGTAAATATACAATCAGAATATAAATAAACTTTTTCGATATTATAGTTAACTTTTTAATCATAGTATGCGAGAAGTATCTCGTAATTCGAGATATTTTCACATACTAAGAGCGTCAAAGAGAAGAAATTTTAAGATCGAATTATTATATTTCTCTTATTTTAGATATTAAAAGAATCCTGGTTTTACAATCAATGAATTCTTTCTTATATATCGTTTTAATCATAAAATAACAAACCACGAAATTATCGTTTTATTCGATTAAAAATAATGAGATTATATTATCCATCTATGACGATATTTACAATGAATTTCCAACACCGAAATATTTTCGAATTATAGTACTCGAGACAAAAATATAAGAATTTAAAACATTGATACATATCATATATGAAAGAAAGAAACAGAGCCCTATTAAACAAATTAGATGATTGCAATCAAGTAATGTCGAAATTTACCAAAGTCCCGACGAAGCAGAAGGCAAAGACAATAGCGAGGATCTTCATCTTCCTTACTGAGTTGTCGAGGAGCTCGGGTAAGAAAGATCTATATTGAATGTTCACTAAGAACTAAGTACGCGTTAAATGTTGCTCGAGTTTTTATAGTTATAGGTACAATCATTAATAATAACACGTCCCGTAATTTCTCCCTCCATTGTGTACGGGCAAACGATACTGTATTTTCTGGATGGAAGCTCGCCGAAACTGAAGCTCAGATTGGACTCGGATGTGGCACAGCTTGGGCTCGTTGTGACCGCTTTATAAAGAGCTTTAAACGTTAACCAGATCCTAAAGACTCGATAAAATCGCACAGTGAAATTCCTTCCGCCTTGATATCCGTGAGACAACTCTAATGCAATGAGGAAACATTCTTTTTTCTTTAATATTTCATTAATGAAAATGAGATCAAATAACATATGGTTTTAAAATTCAGTTATGTTGATTTTGCTTATGAATTTCCCTTTTTCGATTGCTGGTCGGTTGGTCGGTTGATTCTAACTGTTAGAACATAGTCCTATGATTTTTAGGGCGTTTCAAGAATAATATAAATAGACACGAACATAGTGCATCATAGGATACTAATCCTTTCTTCTTCTCTTTCTTTGTCTTGTGTCATCATCTTTAATTTTCTTTTTATTTATTGTTCATCGTCATATCCATTGGTAAGATATTCGTGATTACAGTTACATGTATTGTATAAATTTATAAATGTTAAAAAATATTTACATGCTTAATTTGCATCTATATTCTACTAGTTAGAAATGATTATATATTGTCGAATATCTTTAAGTTGCACCTTGTGTCCTTGAATTTGGTGCAGTGTAGAGCAAATATAGCAAAGTAAATGTCCGATGGTGTTGTTGGTGTTGCAGTATTCACAGGGCACCGGATTCTGTTTTCTGATAAGATGAGAATGTGTGATGCTGGAGCGACTTATCCTGAGCTTGATTATTCATAGCCGGACTTATTTCATATGCGTTTTTCCAAGCCTGCTCCGTGGTCATAATTTCGTATATCCATACACACCTAGTAAGTACAAAATCCTTCTGAATTTGTTAACGAGCTATCTCCACTATTTCACGAAACTAATCGCTCGAAACAATTCCCGGTGTTACCTATGGTTTGTACCAACGGGACGATAACGCAATTATTAATGAACTGCCGAAACAAAAAACGTACTTTTGCTTTTATACTTTTTATTTCATTGTTATAACATAATTTCAGTTGGATTGTTCAAATTTTTACGAACAAAATGATGTTGATCATGACTATATAAAGTATATCTATCGATATATCCTAACGTATGTACTTTCATTGTAATATTGAAATTAAAATTTAATTTTGCATTTTTTACATTATTGTATTTTGTTTCATATAAGTCGTATGCTTTACGTTTCTAATACAAATGTTAAAATATTTTGTATGCTATAATCATAATTATGTAGTATATGTACATACGTGACATACGCCATCAAAGCGCATGCGCAGAAAGAGTTGTTATATACCTGTTCGTAGTACATAAAATCGTAGACACCTTATTCATTAGAACTTAGCAGTTTAGTAATATGTAGAAGTCTCTTATAGGAGCTCTTGTTCTTCATGAAACACCCTACCAAGTTACTAGCTTTCTTACATTCGTTGGCACCAGCTGAAATAACCATAAATAGGAATCATTAAATTATACATTTCAAGTGGTAACTAATTTGCTAAAAATTTTATTTAATAATTAAAATGAAGAATTAAACTTTTTGCTTATTATTAATAAGTTAAATTTTTTCATGAGTGTTTAAATGGAAAGCAATTTGTTAAAAATCTTATATAATATTTAAAATACAGACGGATTTTGTAATAACAATTTTTTACTCACTGATGTTTTGACATTTTTTGACAAGTTTACTAGCTGTATGCCAGGGGCTTCCCCAGACTATCAGCTGGTGTCTGGCAACATTATTTTTTATCCAGAGATTTCCATTCTCCTCTACCTGTATTGCAGAAATAAAAATAATATTTTTTTCACTTTCTTCTCTATAAGAGAACTTAAGACTTCATTCATAATTTATAAAGGAGAGTAAAAGATGCCTTATCAATATAGAAATCCTGGAATCAATTTTTTTGATATTAGTTTAATTTTTGTATTCATAACCTTTTCTAATTAATGTAAAAGAATGTAAATCGAACTCTTTATAAAAAATGGATAGGGCGAGAATGTCTAATGGGATTTCTTTCTGTGACAATATTTAAATAATTTTCTCTATTTATATTGATAAACAAAATAGTCAACTAACGATAAAGAATGTACTTATATAAAATGTGTATCTTATGTAAGACGAAATATGAAACAAAATTTGAAGAAATATTTTTGTATTGATATAAACGGAAAAAACATCGAACATCTGTCATAGATATTTTCTTCGTCACTTCCACTGACCTCGATCTTCGTACATGTTACCGAGTCCTGTGTGATCTTCAAAAGGCTTTAGCTGTCGCGTTGTCTTTTAAAAAGCTATTTGCGCTTCGTGTGAAAAGGGAATACAAATGCTAAGTCTATAATTGTCTTTTTTCATATGAACTAGGGTTAAATAAAAATGTTCAAACCTAACCCCAATCTATTTATGATAATGTACTTACAATAAAATATTTATAGGTATTCCCGTAGTTTACGCGCGCTTTCTTGAATTTTTCCCACGTTGAAATTCAGAGCACTGAGCAGAAGTCACATCGCGTTTTCTGGTGAAGTTTGGAATACTTTTCGGGATTACTCCTGTGTTTTTTTCGTTCGCAATTCCTGGGATTTTGTGCGTTTCTTTCTCTGACATGGAGGAGGTTTGGGTAGTAATTTAAATTGTGCAGCAGACAATGAACAAACTAACCCAAACCTAACCCAAAAACAAAACGATAAGTGTGGGAGTATCTGTATACAACACACATGTATATACTACGTGTTGACTTGTTAAATGTGTACTCAGCGTCGAAAAGGTACGTTTTACTTATAAAAGTTATTTTATTAATGTGTTTTTAAAAAACAACAAGCGGCGGCTAAAGCTTTATAAACGTTAACCAGGAAGATAACTTTCATAACTTATGTGAAGTTCAAGGTCACTGGAGGTTAGTCCCCTAAACAGAAGTTTTACCTCTTTTTTTTTATATATAATTTAAATTTAAATTTAAATTTAAATTTAAATTTAAAGAATATTTTGTATAATTTGATTGAAATAATTACGTTACTTACGATACCCATCTTCCTCAGAATACAGTAGGTGAAACAGCCAAGTCTCCCGTCGTTCATAGGTATAGTTTGTCTCTTCACGTCTTCTATTAACTCTGAAAACCGAATAATATTGACTAAGGCTTTCCATTCATTTTAGTTAAAATTTATTTTGTTGTTTGCTACTTACGTAGATTAATGCTAGTTTCTATGGCGCAAGATGTCCTAAATCGTGCCAATTGGGCTTTTTTGAGATCTGAGAGAGCCTGAAAATATTAGGATATATCATAAAGGCTCTAAAATATAAATAAATATTTGGTGAAATGTTATTAATAGTCATAGAATATGAATAACTTTTTTCGATAAGATAGTTAACTTTTTAGTCGAGAGAACCCGAAAATTTCGGACCGAGAATTTTTCTCGGGATCAAGTCGAATTCCTGATACTTTCGAGTTTTCACACGTCTCTACTTTTTAGAGTTATTAGATCCTTTCAGAAAATCAAAGAGAAGAAATTTTATGATCGAACTGTTATATTTCTCTTATTTTAGATATTAAAAGAGTCCTGGTTTTACAATCGATGAATTGTTTTTTACACATCGTTTTAATCATAAAATAACAAGCCACGAAATTATCCTTCAATTCGATTAAAAATAGTGAGATTATATTATCTATTTTACGACGATATTTACAATGAATTTCCAACACCGAAATAATTATGAATTATAATACTCGAAATTTAATTTTTTCAGAAAGTAATTCAGTTGTACGATTAAGATTAATAAGATTACTATGCAACGATTACGACAAAGATATAAGAATTTAAAACATTGATACAGATTATATATGAAAGAAAGAAACTATTAAAAAGTCTATTAAAAAGATTGGATGATTGCAACCAAGACGATGACAGAAGGAACGAGAAGAGTAAAAAATGTCAAAATTTACCAATGCTCCGACTAAGCAGAAGGCAAAGACGACAACGAGAGTCTTCATCTTCCTTTTGAAGTTGCCGTAGAGCTCGAGTAAGAAAGATGTATATTGAATGTTCACTAAGAACTAAGTACGCATTATATGTTGCTTGAGTTTTTATAGTTATAGGTACAATCATTAATAATGACACGTCCTATAATTTCTCCCTCCATTGGGTGCCCGCAAGCGGTACTGTATTTTTCGGATCGAAATATACCGATATTTCGCCTCTTGCCAGCTATCAGAACACATGTGCTAGAAAAGAGAACGGTTGTTAACATCTAAAGAAGAACAAAAATATATCTAGATAATTTATTCCGTTTTTAGAAGCATTTGAGTAGCCTCATAAAAGAGTAGCTTCTCTTAGATAAAAGTATGATGTGAACAAAGCTGAATTTTATTTAAATAATTGTTTGCTTTTTCATACTTGTAATTTTAGATTTTACAAGCTTGCTGTATAAGTTGATCTTGATGAGCACGATCGGCAGAGCCTGCATAATAATTTCTTGCACAATACACTTTCCTGAATTTCATCGCACTCACTGTCATTGTCGCTTTCATTGTCTGGCATACGGTTTTTATTCTCTATCCGAAGTGAAGATCCTAAGATCACGGTGAATGATCGCTGGTGGCTTTATTCACTAAATTTTACGTCTTAATTAATTAAGTATTTCATTTACATACATTTTAATTTACGTACATTTAAATTACAATATTTAATGAAGATTCAAGTAAGCGAATAATCAAAGTATAGATAGTATACTTTCATAATTCTCATGGCTATAGCAAATACGAGTCTATGATCTTATAAATTAACACGAAAGGAAGGCCAAAGTTAGAGTGCCAAAAGAGAATATCTCAAATTGATTCAATTCTTAATACACTGACGTATAATGAAACTGCAAATTGAATAGCTCTTTTTGTTATGCGGCATTAACTCGTAACCGATAAGGATGAATGAAACTATGCACTGGAATAATACTGAAAAAATTTTTTCTATTTTGTTCTAGGATGATAATAGTATATTATTTTTATGCAAGTGGATTCATGGGAAGAATCGATAGGGAAGAACAGATAGGAGAAATGACAAATGTAATTGTACAATATAAACGATTTCATCTTGTGGAATTGGAAAAAGCAGAAATTACATTTACCATCCTTGTCAAGATACTGAGACGAATTATAAACTTACAATTATGTATAATAACAGTGGCATAAATGTATCATAATGGTGCGTTTAGCATAGTTTACACCAAGCCAATGCTCGTGAATGAACCCTCGCTGTTTTCCCCACTTTAATAAAATATAAAATAAAAACCATTCGGTTATGCCTTTATGACGAAAGAAACTGTCATTTAAAGTGAACAGAACGGAAAGTGAAGCTGTCATTCGAACGTAACCAAACATGTGCAGGAATGCGCCATGAAATCATACGCTTATTCATTCGGTGAACACATGCTCGCTTACGCTTTTATTCTTTAATTTTAGTAGAGTGGGGAGAGAACAAGCATTCGTTCGTTTAGTGAGGCTTGATCTAAACTATGACACGATCGTGGTCTAAAGTAGTCTAAACCACCTAAACCACAGTCTAAACGTATCATAACTCTTTGTGGCTGGATAAGCGCCAGCAAAACAGTGACATGAACGTACATAAAATATTCATTTTAAATAGTTCTTTGAATCAATTGAAGTGAACTACAAGCAACAAAAGTTTAAATATAAATACATTTATATTTAATAATACGTTTTCGTACGGATATTTCCTACATATTCTGCAATATAAAGTGAATATAGATCAATGTTGGAAGCTTTTATTTTAATTGTCATTGTTATTACTCTCCAATTTTCTATCATTTTATGAATAACTTTTATTTTTCGACTAATGAAATCCTTCTCGTTTGAACAATATACGTCAATACCATAATTAACTTATAGATTATTATTTATTTATTATTAACTCAACTTAGGATTTCCATTTCGTCAAAGATCTTCTCCGGTATATTCTGTTACGTTATTTAAAAAAAAAAAGTGGTAAAATATGAGAACAGGATTCTTTTAAATGACAGAAAACAGTGCTGCCATCAGTATCGAGGGTTCCAACTATTTGATGCGTTAAGACGTCTATGCTCATACATGCACCAACACATTAAAGAATAGCTTAGTCGTTGCATTACAGAATATTAAATTAGTTGTGTGTAGTATGAAAGTACAACTGCCACATTGCCTTATAAAACATGGGAGATAAAGGTAAAAAATTTTTGCTTTGATACATAAGCATTTCTCCTTTGTGCAGTCATTTTTATCACTATTAAGGTTCATCCTTTTATATTCTTTACAGTACGAATGTATACCATTGAAACTTGGCGAGAGTTAATTAATTAATCTTTTAAATAACCGAAATATCATTATGCTCATTACAGATTGAAATTTTCGTAGAATATCCTATATTTCGATAGTTTGTTCAAAGCCGGTCAGTGGTTGGCGTATTAGGTTATGATACGTTCCTAATTGGGTCATTTGAAAGCGCGCCACTTCGAAAGTATGGTGTATCTAATATCGAAAGGACTTTATACTGTTAATGCATTCGAAACATTTCGATTTGTCTTTCTTTTTTTAGGCTTTCCCACTTATTTTCTATACTTGTCAAGGTTAATTCCTTTTATTATGTAACCTTATATAATTTACTACACCTTGGCCAACAGCTGATATCTAATCAACATTCGAGTTTTATCACTCCATAAATTGAAAAATTGATCTAACTGTTATAACGCGATAAATATTGTACATTATCGAATAAAAAGTAAATGTTTGTCACATCCACACTTCACGATAGTGTAGACAGAGATGATGTCACCTGAGTATAACAGTATATGTAGATATGAATTAAGTAATACTTATATTCATGTACTTCTAATACGATTTTTGTGGCTAATAAATAGCATATTATATTTTGTCTTGATATTGTGTACTATTGATAATATTAATTCGTTGAAATCAATGTATGTACATATTAAGGTTACTCATAACCTTATATTTTTTATACCTCGGAATTGTACGTCGCTAATATAAAATTTCATTTGTTACCTGTATTTCATATTTTATATACACAGTTTCACATAATATTTGATTTGTTGTATGCCTGTTTCTTTGAAATGTTTTAAATTCTATATCGGAAATTAATAATAATACATACATACATATATGCATCAGTATTAAATGATAAAGCTCAAACGAAAATTTACATCATGTAAACCATTATAAGGTGTCCAGTTGTTCACTCCAATACATTTTTTTAATTTTTTATTTTAGAAATTAATGAAGTTAGACAAATGCAATTAAATGTTTTATTATTGAAGGTAGAAAAGTTATTGATTTCAGTTACTAATAATATTGTGATAACATTACAGGACAATAATGTTAAAACAAAATTCACATGGGGCCAAATTTTGTTCATTTAAGTTTTAATATATAAAATGCAGATTTATCTTAGTATTTTATAATGTATAATTTATTGAAAAATTTGTATTAAAGATTTATAATTTGCTATACAAAACTGTATATACAAATAGCTATAAAAAAATTTTAAATATGTTATTTTGTTCGAAAATGTCGACTAACATATTTCCCCTATTTATGTTTACGTAATTACCTACCTAATTGTCTAATTATATTATCATATTGTCTTATTAACAACAAACATGTTTTCATTCCAATAAATTTCTCGATCTCCGGCAGATCAATAATAAATAAGGGACCGGCTTTTATATACAAATATACGTAAAGGATTTCATTTCAATATAATAGATTCTAATAATAGACTGTATATTATAAATAAATATAATTTTCTTAAATTGATACCGTATTATGTGTATTAATATTAGTATATAACGCCTAATATATTAACATTACGTTAATATTTGTTTACTACAAAATAAATATGTTCACATTTCATTGTATTAAAATAAAAAGAGATCTCACACACAGAATCGTTTCACAATCGTTTTTCGGAAAAATAAACGATAACGAATTGAATTTACATAATTTACACAAGATATATAACAAATGCGTACATGTTATTCTTATTAAATCTTATTGTTTATTAAAACTTATGTTTAGAGCATCATGTGCACTTCAGTGGAGGAAGTAGCCTCGGGAAAGATAACAATATTATGGTACAACCGCAACGACATGGACAGATAGATGCTCATCTCGGATTTCTACAACTTTATCACAGGTTACATTTTCTTTTTATATACATGTATCGAAATTATATAATAAAAACTTAAATAACTAAATTCTATTTTGAAATTTTTTCAACATTATAATTTATTCTGTAATTAATTGTTCTAGATATCACGTAGAATTCTTGATACCTTGGAACTTGTGTACACATAAGGAACGGAAGAGTTCCGTACCGGCAATAGTTACCGGAACTCACAATCCTAATTGCCATATTGTAGACTTGATAAGTGAAAAGGAAAGCCTAAAGTAAATCATTATATAAGCATATTTAAGATTTTATGCTTTTGTAAACAAACTACCATTATTTCTTTTTATAACAAAGTCTCTAATTTTAATTATAATATGCTTTTTTTCTGCGACAGATTAAAAATAGAATTGCTAGCATATAAAGAAAAGATCTTAAAGGAAGAGGTGCAAATATTGTGCTGTAAGAGTGGAAGTCCACTGAAGATTCAACTGAACAGTCGTGTATTGGGACAAGACAAGGGCAGACCATTGTTAAGGAACGGGATACGCAGTGTCGGCGTGGAGCAATCGAACGAAGATGAGGTCTCCGAGTAGATCTCGTTGATAATGATATTATTGTTCGAATATCTAAGAGTCGAGTGTTTTTTTCACAGGTGCTGGGTACGAAATTGAGGGCATCTTTAAGCATGCAAAGCAAACAGAGTCTCTGAAGAAATTCCGAGCTCGATGCATACCAAGAAGCGCACGTATCCAGTCGAGGACGTATAATGTAACAGAGGATAAAACTTGATGCACGAGAACGTTCCTTATTTCGAAATTTAATCATGCAAAACGCAGGATTGCGTTGCAGCGAAATTCGTCGTTGCGGTCAATTATCAATGATCACTGTTTTAATCGTAAAAGAATCACATGTGCACGTCACGTTCAATCTCAAGCATAGCGCAAGCAATGTTTTATCTATCGAGATTAATTTAACTACACAGCCTGTTCCAAGCTGCACGATATAACTTTCGAAATATGCGATGTTCAGTAAAAAAAGAAAGAGCTTTTCTTTGAATTTATTGCATCTGGTCTGATTGTACAGGCCTATATCACAACCGCAAGAGTTCTTTCCCCTTCTGCATCGAGTATTATTATTGCGATAATCTCGATGCAAGAAATGAAGTGTTCCTTTAATCGGCCTTTTTTTTTGAAGGATCACATCGATATACATGTATGTGTAATTACGAATTACCGCTAAGTACCGCATTTGCCTACTGTTCCTTCTTAAACGAAAACGTATCACGCAATGCCTATATATATATAAATCTATTACATCTTTTAATATCTATCGTCGATCTATCCGCAATAACAAAATTGTATTTTATTATCGTTTTACATTGAGCGTAGGTTTTAAACGATAAGGATATATCACTAATCAAAAGCAAGTTTCGCAATGAATGATGATGCTGTTTTCTAATATCTTGCTAAGCTGACACGAATTATTAAAATGAACAATTCCAACGAACATTTTTTTTTTTTATTAAAGATCATTCCATATTAAACCTTGTTTGTACCTTACACTCGACGATCAAAGTTATAGTTTATTCAAAATTAATTTGCTGTTCAAGATCAAGAAGAAATTTCTATCATTTAGAAACAACTCTTATAGTATATTAATTTCAGTAATCAACTGATTTTGAGGAAACTATAATTTCTTCGCGTCTGTGGTATTCCTATGTGCATTGTACTAATCGTATTAAAATCCAATACTTTTTACGTTCAGAAACGAGATTACTTAAGACATTCCCTACCATATGTGACATGTAATATTTCATTACTTTTAATATTTATTGTCGCAATTCCTCTCAATATTATTTTTTACAACAGCAGCGAATATGTTAAAGAATTCTAATTATCGTTAGCATCGGAAGTTTGACTGTTTCATGGGAATACCAGTTGGTCCGTCAACAAATTCGCAAATGTTGAAACCAAGTCTAGCCAAAGGATGACAGTTACTTCTAGGATTACCCCACTTGCCTCTAAAAGTCATCCAACTGGGTAAGATGTTGTTGTCCTCTTTTAGAAGCAATTCCATCTTCTTCCATGTGGGCCAAGCGGTACCAAAACCACTCTCATCGTAGAGGCGAGGTAATCTGACAAATTTATGCTTCCCTGGCGCCGTCCAAAGTCCATGAGATCCTCTCGCGCTAAATAATATCGGATGGGAGCCACCAGCAGTGAAAACTCTTTCGGGAAATATAGGTTTTTGAAAGATGCCTTTTCGTGTTTCTTGGCTTTCGTAAACGAAGGTTCCACTTCGTAAATCGTATCGGTAAAACGCGCCTGCGTCATGGGCGGACACGTACATGGCTGAAGGATAATTCGCATCCTGAATTAAAAAAAAGTAAATGGTTTTATATGGGAAAATAAAAATATTGTATTGTATAAATATAATTAAACATAATCTCTAAAACATTCCGATCTATACTGAGATTTCATATGATCTTCTTCAATACGCACGAAAAATTTGATTAAAAAGGAAACAATAATTCAAAATGCGAAAAATATACGTATTTATCAATTTTTAGACTCATGTCATTTAAAAAAACATTTGAAAATGCTTTTCAGAACAAAATAAGAGTATTTGTTTTCATCGAATGAGCATGAGTTCACCTACCTTAAAATAAAGACTCATGTGTTCCCAATCGCCCACGTGGTTGCCATATTCCTTGAGTATTCCAAGGCATATCCCACCCACCGTGGGTATCGGCCAGCTACCAAAAAATCCAAGATCCAGAACGCAGACTGCCTTTCCCTCACTGAACGGATAGAACATCCAATAGGTCACGTGAAAGTGCAGCTTCCGGAACTTGTTTCCTTTTTTCTTCTTTTTTTCAAAATCACCATGTTTCTACAAACAATTCCATAAATATTTATTGGATCAACTAATCGACAGAATAATTTCCAAGAATCTCCTACACACTACCCTCAGAATATTTTCAAACGTCTCAATCTTTATTTTAAGAGCCACCATCTAGATTAAAGAACAGAAACTTTCTTTTTTTATGTCGTTCTTTTAACATCTCTACTTTTCTCTCTGTTATAGCTATTGCTGTGTAAGAATTCCTGTTCAGTATATGTACCTCTAAACTCTGTTTCCCATCGCCCTTCCAAATCTTTCCTGGAAGATCGTTAGTGCGGATCATGGACGAGCCGAAATCGTCGATCTGCACGTTCCTCGATGCTATCAACGTCTCGTCCCCTTTTCTTCGCGACTTTCTTTCGTCTCTGACGGTCTTTAAGCTTATCACGTCCGCAGAAACGTCTGGTACAATGCAGTTCTTGATCACAGCGTAAACCGGTACTGTGCCCCCTGGTTTTCGGCCGTATAGGAACGACGATCGATTCCTCAACAGTACTTCTACCGACATAAAATCATTCCATAAAATAAATTTTCCATGCATTTTATAAAAATTCATTAAAATCGATTGTATCAGGTTTGGATCTCTTCGAATGTAATTTTAAGATTTTTTTGTCATTTGTCATTTACCTACGTCGACTCTAGTGCGAAGATAATCATCGTCGGATTGCATGTTATCCAAGAATTCAGGTACCCCAAGGGGTAAAAATAGTTCGCCAGGTGCAAGCCATACTAGAGGCGCCCAGTCTCGTACTAGTTCTTTTACTGCAATTTAATTTAATGAAAATGACATGAAATTATGATGAAAATAAGTTGTAACATAAATTTATCCGTTTTCTATATGCGTATGTGTAATATATGCATTACATATATTGTATAAAAACAAGATGAATTTATATTACAGCCCAATATTTTATAAAACTAAATAAATAAAAAGTTAGGAATTATTTTGATGATTATACTTAGATAATTCTTTTTTCACTATCTTTTTTATGTTGCAAAAAAAAGTTATATTAATTTCCACAAATATAACATAAATTTACTGTACTATACTAAAATATCATTGGCAGAACTATGATTAAAATTACAAAGATTGAAACTATATTATTACATACAGCTTGCGATATTCTAAACCTATAATAACAATAATTCTACCGTGGAGACAAAATTATGAATTAAACACTATAAATGATGCCAAATAATACCTACAGGAAGTTGAACACGTATATAAAGTTGAAAGTAAAAGATAATGTATCGTCCCTATAAAACGATTTAAACGTACAATATAGTGGAAAATAAACGCGAAGGTACGGACATAATATTGTACCCGTACGTCAATGACGATTATTGATGCTAATGACGTTACCGATGATAACATAATATGTTTATTAGAAAGCCAGTTTGTTCGAGCTGCTAGCTTCAGTATGTGCCACATATATTTAGGTAGAAAAAAGGAAAAGCCTAGGGGGATTCTGCTTTCATTTCATTTTGAGTGAGAAGAATTGTGAATGTATGCATCTTCGTTCCACACATTCTCACATTTCAACCTTGATCAAACAGTTATGTACCATCGTTTAAAGCGGCGTATCGTATGAGTCGTTAAAGATCTCGAAACCTCCTTACAAGCTCGATCCAAGTTGTAATAATTCGCAGATCTTTATGAAAAATATTGTAAATTTTCTTTCGCAAAATCTCGCTACAAATTAGCAAACCTTTATGAAAAATTTCATAAATTATTTTCTCATAACCTTGTTACAAGTACGATAAAAGTCGTAATAATTCATTCGTATAATATAAATCGTTATGAAAAATTTCATCAGTTTTTCCTTTCCATTTCATTTTCTTCTCTGATTAAACGTAAAATTTCATTCTGATGGAATCTTCAAATATTCGAATTCTACTGAAAAAAAAAGAAATATTTTTTAAGATTGAAGAACAATGAGTAGCGCAAAGGGATTTTCATTTCATCATTACAGACAGGAAAAGCTTTCACCCTTGGCATCCACGTGTCGATTCATATCCTGACATCGAAATCATAATTATTATGTAGGACCGATACATGGCGTTGCCATATTTGGTGTTACGGCATGTTTCCCATTATACTTCCGCAATTAAAGAACAGGCGCCGTGAACGGGAACAAGTTTCTGTTTGTTTTTACTTTAATGCGGCGCTTACGTTGTCACTGGGATAATTATCCCGTTGTTTAGATTTGCCCAAGATAATTTAATTGCTATTTGTTTCGAATGACAATCGTTTCTTAGATTTTTTCACCATGATAAATATGTTGAACCTTTCTTATAACTAAACTGGAACCACAGCTTTAAAACTGTAAAGGATTGAGAAAAATTTCATCAACAAAATTAGGTTTTCTTTTTTATCATTATATCGACCAGCGGATTTAATAGATGGTTGAATGGTAATCGTCAGTTTATGAGTTTTCATCACAATATATACATATGGTACTGTAGACAGTATCTAGCCAACAAATTAGCTCATAGAATTGTATTCTGATTGCTAGTATAACAAAATAAAAAAGAATTATTATGATGCTCCTAGAGATTCTTAAGGTTTATAGGAAAAATTAAATAGTTTCGAATAGTACATCATTTAATATATGTATATATGTACTCATGTGATTATTTCGAAATTGAAGTTTCAAAAATTTCAGGATCACCTCGGTTTACTAATACCACATAATAAACTACTCGAAGCCATTTAATTTTGTCTAATGAAATTTTCGTTTATCTTCTACTGTTTTAGAACTATGGCTTCGTCCTGTTGCGGAAGATCCTGTAGAATCTTGTTACGGTACTCCGGAGTAATTAACCATGATATACGCTAACAATTCATGTTTCTTGTCCATACTAATATCCATGTCCATACTAATATAGTACAAAGAAAGTAGAATCATTTTAGACAAGATCTTCCCGTTACATTCTACACACTCACGATCCTTAGGTAACACAAGATCGCCATAGATTACAAATATCTTTGAATCCTTAACATAGATTTACATGTCACGAGGAAGAGAGCCAATTTCACCATGGAAACGGACTTTCCTACAAAAAGAGGAGTAATACGGGGGCGCTAGGTAGCCAAGATGGAATTCGTTTAATTATTTTCTACGCATGCGTGTAATACAGGCGAAATCGAAGATTAATGGAAACTCGTTTTGGTCTGCTTGACAATCGTCAAACCGGTCCAGAGAAATGGGACAATCGATTTTCAACCTTGATCAGCGATTCAAAGCCATAAGTTTTATCCCCAGAAAATAGATCGATCGATCTCACAGGAATACGATCATTGTAACATATATTAAAACACGTTCATGCTAAATACACATGTGATAATACGCGTGATCGTTTCGACGAGACAATTTCACCGTTAATCCAACAGTCGCAGCTTTGACTGGTTACCATGTAGACTGTGTCCCGATTCACCACGCTTTGGTGCTACTTTTACGAGCTTGCCGTCGCCTTTATAGTAAACATTTCTTCGATGGTAATTCGTGTAGTGACCGAGCATGAACTTCTTTGCATATGCCCGTTATAATTACATAATTGTAATCATATCGAAATAAATAACTTTACGAAATAAATAAATTTCCAAACGGTGACTATCGTGATTCGAATAAACAAATTAGTGTTTAAATTAATCCATTTTATGCACTTTAGTTATTGTACTACGGCCTTGTTACAATTTATCCTCATTACATTTCTTTGAGTCAAAATTGTAAAAAATGGAGAAGGTGAAGGACGAATAAAATGAATTCATGTTGTGCGTTTGCTAACTTCAATTTCTTTACTTATTGTTAGTCTTCTTTTGCTTGATTCTTCAGAATTACAAGTACAATATACCAATATGAATTTAAACAATTTAATTGGATCATATCAGAAACCTATACCGATTATCTATTCTGCGATCTCTTTAATTTTGTCAAAATCCAATCACCATAAACTTACGGCGTTTCACATGAATAATAAATACGTTATTTTAACTCCACCAACTCCACGTAAATATGTTTCTATTACATTTTACGAATCTTTCAGATATTTAATAAATTTTAGGCAAATTTAGAAGAGCTGATCTGTCTATCGTGAATTAAATGCAGAAAATAATTGACAATGACAATCGTTTAAACTTGAAGTTCTTACCTCGTTCTTCGTCGGTGGTTTCCGAAGTCACGATCATGTGAATGATACACAGAATCAACAGCAGACACTGCATCGTATTCGACTTGTTCACACATTTTGATAATCGAGTGCCGGAAAAGCCGCGAAACTCGAAACTTTTTAAGTGTTGCTCATCCTCGATGCGCTGTTTCCCGCCACCTTTATATCCCCACGTGCTACCGTTGCTGTGGATCTACCAGATATACCGTGTCACAGAAGAATTCTGAGGTTAACGATCGTCCTGCTACCAGCTACAGTGTTTCTCAGGTAACTGACCGGTTCTCTACGTTCCCCGTGCCGCTCACTGGACAAACATTATCGTCGCTCACGGCCATTGTGCACGCAGTTACGAGGATGCGGGGGGAGACCGTAAACGTAACGAGTTAACCCTTCTATCGAATTGAAAGTTTAAAATTACGGTCTCGCGCTTTTCATTTTAACTACACTGACCTACGCGCATGTGTGTATTACGTATGTGAATACGGAGAAATGATATATATACAAAGAGAGTGCTTTTTATATAATAGATAACTTGATTTTTCTTGATCGCCATTTTTACTTATAGCGTCGCTATTACTTTTAGTTTAACGATAATGCAGTTCGAATGTTAATGATTCATTATCAATAAAATACGAATTTTTATGCATTTATAGGAAATTTGAAAGTACAAAGTTACCAATAACAGTAACATTCTGTTATCAATAACAGAATGCATATAATATGCTTATAAATAGTACTATATAAATAGTACTTTTTATAATATTTGGTAAGTAAAACAACCTTCGACACAGGTTCTATTTTTTAAATTATATTCTCAAAAATATAAATTTACACAGAAATCCGTAGTCCAACTATAAAGCATTCAACGTTATAATAATAAAGTTATATGAATATTAAAACACGCCATATTATTGTAATATTTTATATTAAATAACATTATTAGTCTGATTAATTTTTTTATGAATCTTAATTGTATAAATGTGTATATATTTCTTATTATATAACTTTTCATAAATAATACTAATATCTTGTTAATTAGTTAATCGTTATATGATCATGCGATATTTTATTACGCAAGCAAATAATACATGTATATATGTGCGTATCTGCCTGTCAAAGATTGCTTACATTTTCAATGTATGAGAATTTACTGATAAAAGAAAGATTCGTTAGTAAAAATAGTTCATACTATAGACTTTATAAAAACCATTCACATGAAATAAAAATAAAAAGAATAGAAAGTGGTCATAAATTACGACTGCGGTTGCGAAAGGGATACAAATCGGGCGAACAGGAAACCGCGGAAGCCATTTACGATTAGTGAAAAGAAAAGCGCTCTGCATGTAGCATAATCATAAGAATTACATTTGTAAATGCTATATTTCCGACGTTGTCGTTCATGTGTACAATACTTTTAATGTTTTCGTATATAATTTCGTATTTTCGCTAACTTTTTACATTTTACCCTTTTTTTGTCGAAGTAATGAAAGGTTTTATAAATATTTCAAATGATGCAAAATTACTGTAATAGTCTGTCAAAGTTCGTGATATTACTTTCATTTCTATGAAATGTACATTGCCAAGGATGATTATTATACATACAAAAATGACAAAACTGTCAATGTCTACATATTAATGCAAATGACAAGGTAGATGAGAATTAATGTTTTATAATACTTGCTTATTTATTTAAGAACTATATTTGCTTTATTCATTCTTCACACAGAAACATATTCTACATTTTATATTTACATTATTCGTAACAAGCTTTATAAACACTTATTCGTAAATTATACATAAGGTAATCACAATTTATATGTTTGAATATCACACTTTTCAAAGCTTTTTTGTTACTTAATTCTATAACTCTATAAAAACAGCTGATTAGATAAACAAAATTTCAACAATGTGAATGAAAAATTACGCGTGAAAGTTATTAATTTACGAAATATATGTAGTGATAATTTAGGAGCCTTTTATCACAAAGTGCTTATTGCTATCGCTTTAATCAAAAGTAATACATTTTAATGTCAAATACATGCAGTGTTATAAGAATAAAACAATAATTATATATTTATCGTTTACATAACCTTTTAAGAAAATTCACAATATGGCAGGAGAATCCACTTTTTATATGTATGTCATTAATTTTCATATTTAGAATTTATAACAGAGAAACATAAGAGGAACTGAAATTTGATTTACTAATTACTTTTATCAAATGGAATATTAAAAATAACAATTTTAATCAATTAAATAATGTATAACATTGCTTATGACAATGTATAATAAACTGTTTAATGGAGTGAATAATAAACTGTAAAATGGAGCTTGGAGAATATTTGTAGCTGCACTATACATAATATTAAGAATAGGGGTGTGCGGATACTTGAGTCTAAGTTCAGATCAAGCACTGGTCAAATTAATTCATATGGGATCGGGGTTCCTGAAGTTTATAATATTTAGATACTCGGACATACTTATGTGGTTACGAACTTTCGGAATCCCAATCCTACATCAAGGATCCAATCCAAATGTACTTTTGAATATTTGAACACCCCTAATTCGAGTATCACACACAGCAACTATTAACACTTTTACTGCCAGCCGGTCGATATGTTACCCCTTGGTGCTTATGCAAGAACCGTCACTGACCGGTATGTCGGCCATGCTTGTTTACGTTTAGACTATCTCTCCTTCGAGTGCGATATTTTTCACATATATCAGGTATTTGAAGCTAGCAGTATGAGGGTTAATAAGTCTGAAGTTATGTTATAATTAATTAATATATCACCATTTAAAGTACGATTTGCTATACGCAAATAAAGTTTCAAAATTTGATACAATTCTGCTTCATTATAATTCCTTATATAATGGAAACAATGATAACAAAAACATATATTTTCATAGGGTCATGAATTTTGCATTTTAAGAATAATGAGTTATACAGTTTATGTAAAAATTTCCTTACATTTCTATATAATATTATACATGATTTTATAAAACAGTGCTCCTATGTAAATTGCTTAGAAAGAGGAAGATGCATTTTATAAAATGCTCCTATTTAAAGCAAATTTTAAACTCAAAGGTAGATCATAAATATTTCATTTTTTCATTAATCACTTCAGTTTCAAAATGCACTGTTTTAAACAATTGTAAATGATACTTCCATATATTTGTATATTTATTCTATATTGTGAAAATATACATATATAATTAAATTTGTCCAGCTGAATAAATCACAGCATAAGGCACAGCTGTATATGTACTATATCAAAAAGATAAGACATGCAACTGTACTATCGTATCTTTATCGTAAATACAAGGAAGCAGCAAAACTTTGATCTCATATGTAACATCTTCTGTTTTGTCTTTCTAAATTTGGATAATTACTTTATTCTCCAAGTAGAACAGTTTATCTTAGTAGATAATTGTATAGTTATTTGTAAAAAATTTAATTGCAATGTGAATTTGATGTTTAACAAACATATTTTTCAGTTTCAATAGAGTACAAAAAATATTGTACTGATCAAAACATGTTTCTTATTAAATCTGGCAGTCTTATGTAAATGGAGATCTGCAGAGTGGGCACAACGCTCGATGCTGTAAGATCAAGTGTGATTTAAATTCATTAATTTAAATTTTGATGAAATTAAAAAGATCTGCGATCATGAAGTTTGTGCGTAATACTGTATTGTTAATGTTACTTACCCCTTGAGCTTGATGTCTCCATTCATCAATGCAGTTCTTATGAAATTGATGTTTGCAAGGTAGGATGTATGTAGCTTTATTTATCAATGGTAATAGACATATTGAACATTCTTCAGAATCAAATAATCTATTGGGCCGTCTATTATCATTGAGAAAAAAGTTATTTGTTATTTAATTATGTAACACTTATTTACGTAGTTATGCTTCTACTATACACTTATATTTAGATCATGTTTAAAAAAACTTACTCTGAATGATAATCGTACGCATGTTCATAGTATTGCTGCGCAGTTCTTGGCTTATTAGTTCCAAACATAAAATAGAGAACCGTAGCTACGGTAACTCCGATGAGTATAGTTACGAAACCTGCATGCGGCATCTTTCTGGTATTGACAGTTCAACTAACAACAATCAACAAATTCGACGAACTAACTTTGGATATCCCATTCGCTCAAACTTATGAAACTAATGTTGATCTACAGCTTTCAGCAAGAATACGTAAAAAGTACGACGAAACCCGTGAAATCCCCGCGGCATAAACAATGAAAAGATCGAAACGTTGCCTACTTAGACGGTATCGATTCTTCGTTTGGACGTCTGGACAGAACAAAACACTATTATAACTTTGCATCGCGGTCATATAAACAGACCTCGACACTCGCTAGGGAAAACCATCCCAAAATTGAATCGTGAAAAATAAACATGGAAGATAACAAAGTTCTCGTTCTTGCGAGACAGATAGAGATGAGTAAAGAGTCTCTGTCTCTATTTGAAACATTTACACCATATCACACATGCGCAGAACGCGAACTTCCTTGTCTTCCATCTTAACTTTCATGACTCAATTTTCGAACGGTTTCTTCTATGCTTTCGGTTAGAGTGATAAGCCTGCTTATATGATCGTGATCGTAGTTTGTACATAAGAGCAAACAGGCTGGCTAACAGAAGTTTTGCCAACTTACATATCAAACATAATCGTTAAAAATAATATATATTGTAAATCTCAACTTTGATTAAAATTACTACTAATATATGCCTGATATGAAAATAAGTATATTGAAATTATGACAGTGTGTGATATTAAATTATTAATAACGATGCAATTACATTTATCTTATGAGTTGTTATTTAGTGTCTTTTACTGAAGGCGACTGGGGACATTTGACATATATATGTCAAATTTTCGATAGTATCGTCATATAATACAGTAAGTATTCATAAGTTTAGTAAGTATAATATAGTAAGTTATCATTTACTTTCATTTTATTTTTGTAATGGATAGATTTTCATTTTTCAACAGTTATAAAATGATACATTTATTGCTATTTACATTAATATTCCTAAAAATGACTAAAAGAAATGGCGAAACAATATTAGGTCTTTTTCACTTTGAAAGATACTCGTAAAAAGAATCGTGAATATAATTTTGTGTTAATGCTTTGCATTCAAATTTAAAAATTTCTCTCAACAATTGTTAAATTAAAACAATACATTGCCTCATTTGAATAAATTTATGAAGAGTGAAATCTTTTCACCTGCATGTTTTAAACTGCATGTTTTAACATGCATTGATTAGTCGTAAATAAAACTAATGGCATTAATAAAATTTAAACCTTCATAACACAACAGATCTAAACAAGTAATATCATTCCTTGAGAATGATGCGTTCGCCAAAGTAACCCTCCCAAGTTATTTCTTTGATTATGAGAAATTACATCTTTATCGTCCTCTTATTAATGGCATATTTCAAATCTGGTAATCTAAAGTTGCTGTAGAATGAGGGGGTGATAATGTAACAGGTGTCATAGAAGAAACTGTACGATTGATAGATTGTAGTGGTGGTGCTTGCTGTTTTATTAACATGTGCCGCAGACATTGTGCTTCCTCTCGAAGCGTTATCACTTGTGCCCTCAAAATTGCATTTTCATGCTCCAAAATAGTTGCGCGTAATGCAATCTACAATAACATTTTAACAATTTGATACATTATAAATATTTTCTTGTTCTTGTAGCAATATAACTCAACGTTTACTCACGTTATCTTCTCGTATTTTTCGGGCGTCACGAGATTTTTTCGCAGCTTGATTATTACGTTTACGTCTTTCGTAATATTTCTCGTCCTTCTGATCATCTGGAATGGGTTTCTTTTCGCTTCTGGGCCGTCTGTGTACGCTTGCAATGTTATTCGCCCCCAAAAAATGACGATTTATCATAGTACCTGTTTTACCGACAGATTAAATGTTTCATTAATCATTGCACTTCATACTTACATATTTATGAAACACTATAAATGTAAAATTATTCATCAATGTTTAATCAATAATACTTAGCGAAAAATACAAAAGTTTTGCCCCGGGTGAGGATCGAACTCACGACCTTAAGATTATGAGACTTACGCGCTGCCTACTGCGCTACCGAGGCACTTAGTAACACAATTGAATAATAATAAATAATAACGCCCAATTTGTACAAGCATTTTCTTACTAAGTAATTGAGACAAATATTCACTTACTTGTATTGCTATTTGAAAATGCTGGGGGCACACTTATGGTTTGTATTAAAGGTTGCATAGTAGTTACGAAGGGTGGTTGAAGCAAAGACCCTGGAAGTGAAAACGTCGTTGACAACGGTGAAGGTGTTCGGCCGATTACAGTATCCGGTGTATTCGAACTTTCTAAAATGTCGATATTTCTAAAGTTGTAGTCTTTGGAATTGTATGGTTCGTATCTGCACAGATCTACAAAATTAATATAATTTTATTATAATTTCCTATATTATATTTTTAATAATAAGCAGAAGATATTGCAAACTAGCTTCTAGTTTTATTTTGAGAAATGTATCTAGCAATCAAATTTCGCAGTACTTATTTATGAATCTCAATTTAATTATTAATTAGTAATTTAATTATTTTGGAAGATATTGCTGGTATAATAATAAAATAATTAATGTGTATAAAATTTGTTATATAGTGACAAGAATATATACGGTTTTTAAAAAACGAAGTAACAACCGCCCCTGTGGCCTAATGGATAAGGCATCGGTCTCCTAAACCGGGGATTGTGGGTTCGAGTCCCACCAGGGGTAATGTGAAAACATGTGGGTTCGAGTCCCACCAGGGGTACTAAACCGGGGATTGTGGGTTCGAGTCCCACCAGGGGTAATGTGAAAACAATTCATTTTTTGTTTCCAATTCTATAGATTATTTCTTTTTGTCCTTATTTAGTATTGCATTTAAAAAAGCAACACAGCTATGTAATTCAATGAAATTAGTAAAAATTCAACGTCACTCTAAAGGGGATGAATTAAAAATAAAGAAATTGTGTCTTATTTCATTTTAAAAATACAACTTTAACAACATACAGTAAACTTACGTGCATGATTGATTTTAACGTATTGTATGTTTTCACAAAATCCTTGTCGATTCACTGTGAATACTATATTATAATTAACCTTCCTAAATATTTCTGCCCAGACTGATTTTACCTTTTTCACTTACCCCTCTAATTATTCCTACGATATTAATAACATAATAACAAGGGTATTCTATCATTTTAAATGTGAAAGAAGTAAAAGAAGTAAAAATTGCAAAAAAAACCTCTACCGTGACAATGTGTCAAATAGCACATTGCCGTGACCAGGATTCGAACCTGGGTTACTACGGCCACAACGTAGGGTCCTAACCACTAGACGATCACGGCTAACCACTAGACGATCACGGCTAGTCCTAACCACTAGACGATCACGGCTACTTGAGGTGTTGTAAATCGTTTGGAAATCGCCTAAATTCAAACATCATGCTGATCAACATATTCATCTATCCATGAACTGGTTCACTTGCTCTTTAACTAAACAAAATGCCAAATTACAAAACTGAAAAAGACGTAATAAACACAAAATGAAATTATATATGTCAATTTAAACAATAAATAAATGTAATAATGTACAAATACAAATATATTATTAACAGAGATACAGTACAGTTCATTGATACTATACTCTTATTGTATAAAAAATAAAAAATTTAAGTGCTTATAAATAGAAATTAAACGCTTTTATAAAAAAAAAAAAAAAATTGTATTTTATGATTATGAAGAAAATTGATTATGATTATGAAGAAAATTGATATCGAAATAAGAAGATGCAGATTTCTGATTAATCAATAAAGAATCCAAAATCCATAAAAGTACCTGAAGTCGGCGCGAACAGGCTATAGCTTCTCAAGAAATGCAACGCAGAAACCGCGCCTGACACTGCGCTTCCGCTACAAATTGTCCTTGCATGCGCGTGAGAGCTCATTCCTCTAAAACAGATAGAAACTATAAACACCAATGAAACCACGTGCAGCACTTTCAAAGACGATCAAATTATTTTCATTCCAAATGAATCAAATAAATCACCGATATTTCTATTTGATAAAAATTCTTCGAAGCATCCTATCAACTTCTATGAAACCATTCCTAATCTTGAATTAACTGAAACTTACAATTTATCGCGTTCATCAGATGTTCTTCACTTATCATCCACAAATGTTAAATTTACAACCTCTTCTTGATCTCTTCAATCTGTATAATTTCTGATTAATTGTAAAATAAAACTCAGTTTCTTTTCTTTTGATGTTTCCACGTTTCACAAAATTAGTTGTTCCCGTATTCACTGACCATAAATTCAATAATAATTTAGAAATATTGAGAAATATTAGTTATATGTTTAGAGACGCCATTAAGTGTTTAAAAGGAATTTCGACTTCTTCGCGACGTAACTTCTTTCTCGTCATAACTTTCCGTCAGGTCTGTTGATGTTCCTTATCACGTGCTTCGTTACCGCATACCTTCTCACAGAAAGGATCCGCAATTCGTCGCCATCAGGGATGGTTCCGCCTCTCTGTACATGCGCAACGTAGAAGCTAGCTACTGTTCCGCCCCTGAATCGTTAGGGGTGAGTACCTGGCTGGTATTTTAAGTGGTCAAGCAAGGCAAAAACGTAACCCTGGGCGGCCAATCCCCGGGTATGGGGCCCGCAAGCGATAATCGCTCAACCTTACGCACGTATCACGACCCTAATCTCTAGATCTATTGTTATAATAGGTCGCTGGGCTCTTCGTATCTTGCATGATTGAATGATGGAGATTAGCATCGGCATCGCGTTGAAAGTTGTTACTGACGGACGTTACTGTTTATGAAACACGCATTTACGCTCTTTTTCTTTTGGCCATATCGTTGCTTCACTTCTGCGTGCCTCGAATTAATGTTGGAACCACAATTTTTTCTGTAAATATAATGTCACTAATAATTATTGCATAGCTTCAGCTATAAACCATTGCAAAGTAAAATAAACTTAAATTTTCAATTTTTAAACATTATTAAATACCTTAGATTTTACTAGTATTATCTGTAGGAAATATACTTTTAAAAATCTATATTTCGTATATGCAGTTAAAACTGCTCTTTCTGACGTTACTTTAAAACCGACAATCCTATTCAGTCTGTTTGCTGGAAAGGAATTACCTTGCTACCTACAAGAAATACAAAAATCTCGTTATGTCGATAAGGAATCGGGAGCACCTTTGTTATTCTTTGCCTGTTATTTTTTATCTCTACATATAGGATATTTCAACGTAGTAAATCTCCTTCAAGAAAAACCATAAACATGCAGACAGAAATATAAATATAAACATAGACAGAGACACTAATTATGTTTATACTAGACAATATGTTTATACAATATTTTTAATGATATAATATATTACCTTTATATTATATTAATAGAGTTCCTCTTATTATTCCTAATTCGTATTTTATTCACTGTTTGGCCGATCTATTTGGCAGAGGCTATCATATTTTCAGAAAGCTTAAGTGTCACTTTTGGCAAATTATTTTATGGCATTTATCTTCATCTGTCTATGCTTACATACATATGTACATATAGACATACAAGAACATTGGCAGGCTATGTTAATCTAGCAGACAAGAACCACCTACCTACGCGTTTCTAATGTCTCTGGGACAATCGGCAGCTGACACTTTCATGTTACCTACGAATGTTTAATGCGTTGGTAATTATTATGAAGTAAATTACACGACCGTGTAGGCAATATCGAATGGGGGAACTGCAACATTGATGAGGCTGACTCGTGCCTTAAAATTGTTTCTATTCGACCTCATCAATGTTGCAATCCACGCCGTCCGTACGACATGGATGGCAATTAATGGTCAAAAGATCGATTGCTTTTCGCGGGAGTTAGCCGTACTGCAATAGAACAACCAGGTCCTTTGACCTTCGCGTGTCTGTAGCTGTGTATTGCGAAGCATAATCGGCACAGAACGATCAGAAAATATGAATAATATTAGTAATTCGATCAGTAAATACTTTCCAATTGTTCAATTAACTGCCGTGCGCTGTATAACACTAAACACGCTTTTCAATTCGCAACGCGAGAATCTTAAGAAATATTAATATAAAAGTATCTAAAAGTTAAAAAATATAGTTGTAGTCAAATGATCGAAAATTTTACATCAATGTTTACGTATAGCTTTTCTCAACGCTTAAAAGAAGTAATTGTTCTGTTTGAAAAAGATATTTGGATATGCCTAAAGAAAATAATTTCAAGAATTATTCAACTAGTGCCTCAAATAGTGCTTAATTTCTTCCTGCTAAATTAAATAATATTCTTAAGCAGTTAAAAAATTCTGCTTTCAACGAATTCGCTATATTTGTGATATCCTTAACTTTGTCTATGTTCGCAGCATTAAATCTTCTTCCTTTCTTTAACACAAGTTGTGCACTAATAGCGGTAAATGTAATTGCACGAAAGAAAATTGGAGGTGCGACGGTGATTTACGGAATAGCGTGTCGTTTTCGTACGCGAAAAAAGGGGATGAGCAGCATGGATTATATTGCCTGTTCAAATTTAACTCGGGGACGGGGGCGCACCGCGGGTTAAATAACGCCATTTGTTATCGTAATATCTAATTTAGCGTTGAAGGGTGATGCGCCAACAGCCATGTGGTCGTGATCTCACGAGGCCACGGTACAGGTGTCTTAGGAACAACAGTTTAGCTTCCATAAGTTCGCCAGGTGTACCTGTAAGAAACAAAATGATTCATTCCCAGACCCGCTTTTAAACATGAACTATACTCCCTGGCATTTTTTACAATACTTATTCTACATTTACATATTTTTTAAGTTAAGAAAAGATATCCTTATCATTGGAATCTTCTTCAATAAATGTAGATGTCATTTTAAAGTATACTTTCTATCATCCAAACGAATATATTTTTTAGATTGTTGAAGAAATTGGATTGAGGTTTACTTAAGTATCAAAAACTACTGCCAATAAATATTTTAGACATACTACTCCTACTAATTTTTACAATATGTATATTTTACCAATATATACCTCCGTGATAATTTTTTTATTCTTGTTAAGAGATCACATAAGGAATCTTAAAAAGAATACTCTTATTAGTATTAAAATAAATGTAATTTTGAATTTTGCTTAAGATGCTTAAGATTACTTGAGATTACTTAAGATTACTTAAAATATTTAGAAGAAGTACTGATTGTTAATTGATAAAAAATTAGTCTCCTTGGAAGTTTTCAATTTCCTTTTCAAAATTCAATTTTTTACTTCTACATATGCAAAGAAAATGGACAACTTAGTAATATAATGATATAATATACATATAATGGTAATCATTCCTTTATAATGATACCAATGAAAGCCAAACCTGCCAATCGATCTGATCAAGTCTGACGTTTTCACAGAGAAGCAAAAATAATCAACGAGACCTGTCCTTACATTACGAACCGCGTTCTCGTCGCTCTGTCGGCCGCTCGTTATCATTATGCGGCTGGATTCGCGATAGCGAACGCCCCCGCGGCTCTTGCTCGCTTGGTCTCTGCTCGTGCGAACCCAAACACCTGCCCGCGACCAACGAGTAACGTGACATCACGTCATGTGACCTCCTAAGCCCCGGATGCGCCCCGAAACCCCTTAGATCCCAATGACACCGCGCGACCTCCGACTAATCTGCGTAATCGCAGTCCTGGAAAACGACGGATTACACACTCTGACCATATCTTCGTGTCGCCATCGCACTTTCCTCATCGTACCCTCTATCCTTTTTAACCCTATTTTTAAAGTAACCAGAGTTCCCCTTTGGTTCCTTTAAATATATTTGTTTTATAAGCGGAAGCAGACCTAATGTGGTATCCAAATTTCTGCTTAATTCTTTTAGGTATACTTTTGTTATACCTAATGATTAGTCTGGTTTGTCATGGTTTTAAACTTAAGATATTACAAAGATATGGTATAGTAGTTATTAATATTATAAATAGTTACCGATTCATTGTAGATATTGTTGCAGGTATTTTGACCTATTTACTTGTTTCCTTTAGTGATCATGTTTGGTAACAATCTTAATTCTGTTAATCTGTTTTGAAAAATATAATTGTAGTGTCACTTTATAGAATAAACCTCTCTTAAATGAAATTACTTACTTTAAAAATGAAATAATACAATACCTAAGTATTTTACATAATCAACATTTTTATCTTCATATTTTATCTAATCTATCAATTGGAACTCAATTATGCCAATATAAAACAAAATCTAGCAGATCCTAAGTCTCCAAGTTCTTCAGAGCTTAAGACATGAACGAAGCTTCAACAAGTATTTTTCATCGTTCCACGAGTAAAATGTTTGTTCTCCTTGTTCGTAAGTGATGAATACGAAGGAAGATCACGCATGATTCCATGTATCGTACACCTAGAAGCGACATCATGGCGAAAGGGTCGCGTGTCTAGCCATTAATTTCATCCACCGTTTACCATCTTCGCGTAGGAAGCACGGATTGCTCTTTCACCCTTGCACGAAGTCACGTATTCGTGACGCCCATTGTTTCACAACCGAAGCAAAGTTATCTCATCAAGTCGTCACGAGGACGCCCCTCCTCTTTGGCAAAAGACGTGATTAAACTTTTCTTACTTCGCTCGGTTTGCCTATTTACCACTGACTTCCGACTACGTTCTGCGTTCCTTCTACGTGTTTCGTGTCAGGTGTGTACTGATTAGCAGATTTCCGTTTTCGTTACTTCGTTTACGCTTCCCTTATGCGGGAAGTATCGCCTGCGATGAAAGATTAACGTACCAGCTTTTGCTTTTCTTCCTTTGGGTTACCTGACTTTTTTCAAGCAACCTGCATCGTTTCATTTTTAGTCGCATGAAGTAACTTTTGAATTCGCGTGATTTCTAGATTTATATTTGAGCCGTTCACAACTCAACATATGCAATTTTTTAATTAAAATTGAATTGAATGAAAATTCTCAAGTTTGATGCCATAACATTGATGCTTATTATATATATATAATTTCATCAATTTTCTCTATTTTTGTTTTATGGAATGAACTCATTTGGCAAATAAGTGGTTTATCTGATCCTTGGAGAATTCAGAATGAATATGTGTTAACAAATTAATGTACTCACTCCACACGTTTCTAAAAATTGCAATATTTTGAAAAGTAAATTTTAATAAATAATTTAATAAAGCACATCATGTAGAAATAATGGATACAAGATAAAAGTTATATAATTTTATATAAAAATTCTATATACTGAATGGTTTTCCTCTAGTCTACCATTGTCCGATTCTTACAGTTTTCCAGATTCTTTTGTTCGTAGATTCTTTGCCCTAGTTCCTTCATTGAATGAGTTAACGTAAATGCTTCTTGTTCCATTAAGAAATACTAGAAAATATAATAAGAGATACCGTAATTCTTCCATAACCAGAACTTAATCATTTAGACTTAGGGTTTGGTCCCGTGAGGTATGGAAGGAGTATACAGCCCTTCGTTTCCCAGGCTGTTGGCAAATTGTGGCTTACCGCGCTGGCACGGTTCTTATCCGCACTCGTCCAGGTAATTCTTAGCCAGTAAGCTCGTCGTTATCAGATACGAAACAACCATCAATAGTTTTGCGAAATTCTAAAAGAAACAACTGACTACGATTCTTGGTACATTTCTTTTTAAGCGTTCTTTCTTCTATTCTATTTAATAATAATAATAAAAATAAAAATAAATAAAGATTCTATTTAATAATTCTGTAATGATCTTCTCTTGGAATAAAATTATTTTTACATAAAGAAAGATATTATTAAGATTGAATACTTAACGAAAATTGTTTTTCTAAATTCTTAATCAATGAAAAGTTTGCTACCGTATAACTATTCTTATTCTTTTACAATACAAATACAAGATAGATGTGAAAAGGTAGATTTAAATATGAAAGAGGAAAACTACGCTGTAGAAAGTCAACTTGCATAACGAAAATGGAAGAGAGCAATATATAATTTCATTATACATTACATTATTGAAATAAAAGCATGTTGTTTCCGTGTACGAACCGACATTGCTTCTTATTAATATTTTACTCATACGGTTCTCCCTCCAGCGATCAAATGCTCCTCCTATTTTTTCCTCTTCAGACCAACACACCGCCCACTTACCATATAGCATGTTCATGTACTGTTATTTCAATTGCAAATCGATACTGACGCATGGAAAACACAGTTACAGAGGTAACTCCAGGCAAGATGGATTTCATATGTCTTGGAAAATGGAATGATCTGGCCTTTTATTTAATTATATTGCTGGACTTTATGCCTTACAATACTAATATATATTGGAAACTATCATTATTATTATTTAAATATTAACAAATCCTATGGTATACTGTTCTTTCACACGATGATCTACAATGGTTAAAAATATGGTAATTACGTAGTAAATATAAATGGTGAATGCTAGAAATAAAATTCTTATTGGAAAAATAGTGTTATTTTTTACATTATTATCATAAATAAATATTCTGAGTTCTATTGAAATTCTACCGAAATTTGTTTATTAAAAGAAATATCTGAACATTCGTAATTTATTCTAAATGTATTGTTACCGTATACGGCATCCTTCAAGATAATTCACTTCGATGACATCTCGATAAACGATAATCTTCAAATTCACACGCTCGATACAAATACGTGTTGCTTTTTCTAAATTTTACATGCTTTCTTACTGGATCATTTACTTTGAATATGGAGAATTCAAGATCAGGAACATTATCAGACGTAGAGGCAAACAGAATGTTAAATGAAATCCTTGAAGAAGATAAGGAAGAGAATTTAGACGATGGCGACGAAGATGACGATGAAGGCGATGAATCAGAGTGCACAGCAGCTTGCGCAGGAGATCCTGCTGTTAAAAAGGTCTAATATATACTAATATATATAAGAAAATGATCTTTTAAAAAATTCAATAAAATGTTTCCTTTTTTAAGTCCATCATCTTCTTGAAATCAACTTTGGTAATTACAATTTTTCAAAGTCCTTTAATCTCCAACTTTGCCATAACATATTCAAACTAAATAATAAAGCATAATATCCTCATCTTCCTGAAACCATCCTTCGTCAATTGCAACTTCACAAAACCTTCTTCATTCTCAACTTTCTATTACAATATTTAACATAAGTAATAGGCCATGAAATATAAAACATCAGATTCAATCTTAATCAGAACAGCAGTCATACAATTTCTTTCTTTTTGCAGAGACTCTGCGAGTGTATGCGCATCGCAGAAAACTCTTCGAGGTTCTCCTTGCGCGTGATGGAGGCGATGAGGTTGTTGCAGCGCAGAGAAGATCGTCTGCTACCGACATCCACCGCAGAGGATATCGTCGATTATATTCAAGCAACTTATCACGACGATGGTGACCTTTACGCTCAGGTGCGAACCACGCTGAAACAGGTCTGTTCCCAAGGGTTAGTTCTGCGTCAAACAGAGCGAAACAGCCGGTGTAGGCGAAAATTGTGTCTCGCGTGAGACACGATCGCGTTTCAAGGCAACTGCAAAACCGTTTATCTCGCTCGTAGACCGTGCATCTATCGACCAGTTTCGTTTACAGTTCAACTGTTAACTGTAACGCTTCCATCGGTTCGTTTCACTTGATGAACAATCAAATCTTTTCCTGTAAATGAAATTTAAGAGATTTCGGAAGGATCTATTAGTGACTGGGACTTCTAAGACCATTATGGAAAATAAAGAAAGTGCAATTATTTGTTTTTCTATAAAACTATACAAACTATAGTGCTATAGTTGTAAAAAGCTATGATTATGTTTCATAGAAAATTGTATTTTCTATTAAAAAATAAAATATATTACGTTTATTATTGAAATTAATAACAAAATAGTTCATTTTCTATTAACAGTTTTTATCTATTTTATATTCTATCATTATATATATTACTAATGTTAAGTAAATAGTTACAGGATTTTAAAAAATATTAAGAGAGCGACAATGAATTTCCAAATAATTATTCTTATGACGTAGTACAGAATAGCACTCTTTTTTCGCCTCAAAAGTTAAGATAACTTATCGATAAATTTCTATCCTAGATTCGTTATGGAATTGTTAGAAAACGAGTATCATTTAATCGGACCAAATGCGATCTCGATGAACCAAGCCACTTGCACGAAAGGTCGAAGGGATTGCGCGTTGTCTTCGCCAGTTAAGACACCGAAACTTCGCAGGAAACGTGATGATAATGGTGACGATTGCGACTGTAAAACGACAACTGACGAAGAACTAGAACCTACGAGCAAAAGTCGAAGAGTATGGATCAATAAATCAAAAAGAAATACTCGAAGGCAACACGAAAAACATGAAGAGAATGTTGCAGCTAGAGAAGTACCAGAATGCTCTTGTAACATGACTGACGAAGACGTAGAAGAAGATGAATGTGTATGCGAGGATCAAGTGCAAAGAAACGCTAGATATAATAATAATACAAGAGTGCAAGAAAGAGAAGATGTGCAAGAAAATGATCACAAAAGAGTAAATGAAGAAAGACAAACGAGACCAGTTCAGGATTTCTCGATAGAGTCCTCAAGAAGAAGAAGAAATGTTCAGGGAAGGAATAGAACGATGGAAATTGTTGATAGAACAACAATAGGAAACAATAGATCAAACAAAGCATTATCAGATAACGTGGACAATTTTTACAGTAAATTACAAGGAAAGATTTTGTCTTCTGGAGACAAAAAGCGAGAAAGAGAACTAAAAGCGTGGATTAAACGTTGTCAAGAAGAATGTAAACGACAAGAGAATCGACGAAATAGAAATAATTAAATTTTTCGTTGAGCTCGTGACTCTGCTAAACGTGACTTTGATCTAAATTATTAATAAATAACTACTCCAAATGGAGTGCTCTTTTGAATGATAAAAAATTATTTTTGAATGGAATATTTTTCATCAAATGTGTAATAAAATTTTATCAAATGTGTAATAAATAGACCTTAGTACCTTTTATTCCGTTTTTACTTGCTTTTTTTGTATCATTATATATTACCTTTTTATTAGTTTATACGTATTATTTTTATTTTTCGTTGAAAATAGTGTCAAACATGGGGAAAGTTGTAGAAATCTTCCGGTACGATCGATGGGGATTAAATAACCAGAATGCACCGCGAAAGAAAGTGCTTCACTTACATAAGATCTTAATCTGTTATCTAAAATGCCAAATATCACAAGTATAGAGATTTTATATCACTTACATTAGTAAATTACATCGAAAAAATATAATTCATATTAAACTTATACCTGTATTTGAGTTTCTGCGCGAATGGATGTTTCTCTTTCTTGCGTTTCTTTTTCGAAATCTATTACATGCATTATTACGTTGTTTTCGAACGCTATCGGTGTACGCGATCTTCCTTAAATATTTATACACCAAATCGGAAACCGTTGATTTCTGATCATGGCGTCGTAGAGGATTTTGCTCCCTATTTCTATTATTTTTGTTCCGAGATGCCAATCTATTCATAGTTACGCATTATTCGAGCATATTAAGGAAGAGAAGTGCGAATTTAAAAGATTTAAATGTTACAGAATCATCCACTACACTAATTTCTTTTACCTGACTTCCTTAGTTTCTTCCTTTCTTGTTATTTTATATCGATAACCTCTGTTTTCTAATGTCATTTTAGTTATTTTATAACATTAGATTCATTAAATAGGGAAAGAATTTAGAAGGGTATATTTGTGCCATTACATACCATTATTTAATTTAACATCATTTTTTAAAAAGGAGAACTACGTATTTCGTTCGTTAAACATGATGCTTATATATATGTATAAACGAATTCGTCTGCTATGTCAATTCATAAACATGTGGTCAAATGCAAAATTTATTTATAATTTTTACCAATAGATGATACAAATATTTTCTATTACATATTGACTTTCCTATACATAGTTTGTGCTTTTATACGTAGTATTACTAGAGAATAGTATCAAGTAGAGATTAAATCTATCAGTATTAACTAAATACAAGATTAAGTCCTGTATTGAGTTAATATTTATAGTAGTTTTTGATAAATGATATGATAATTTATCTATACCTTTTTACCAGTAGATGGTACACACATTTCTTATAGTATGTTATTTTCTAAAACAGCTACATGTAGCGCTGTAACAACAACGATGATAGTTTACATCATGGTGGTTTTGTAATAACTGTCAACATCAATTAATCAAAAGGATAATGTCTCATAAGGTGGTATTTCATTATATTTAAAAAATCAACCTCTCATTTTTACATTTTTACGTTGGCCACATTTAAATGTTCGTCGTTGCTTAAATATTCAATTCTCATACTTGATCATTATAATTTTATGATCCTGACATTTCAACTTTAGTGTGCATATTAACTGACAACCTCGAATTTATCGACTTTTTTTAGACAGTATGCAATGAACGCGTAAATAAAATAACACTAATTTCACATTTTGTGAAATGAAAATGAAAAATAAAATTCTCTGATTTTCAAATAAGATTTAAAAAATTATGAAAGTATTTTAATGTATAAATTATATTTCAGGGAACTATTAGAAAGGATTCATCTGTCAGGAATGGACATCAGTCAAATGTTAAAGCAAAATCTAAAAGTTCATCATCTTATGCAGACTCAGAGAATTCTGAAAAAGTAGATTTAAAATTGATGAGAATGTCTCAAACTCCTGAAAAAAGAAAAGAGGATGACAGTCACTCAAGATTAACACAAAATTTACAAACAAGCAGAAATAGTATGAAACATCCTATTAAATCCTCTAAAAGTGTTCCTGTTAAGGAAAGTTTTTCCTCAACATCCAAATCAAATATTAACAAGTCTAGAATATCATCAAAAAGTATTTTAACAACTAAAACACAGACTGAACTTACGAAGAAGTCAGATATCAATGCTGTAAAAAGCAGTAAAAGTAGTAGTGGAAGAATACAGAGTAATTATTCAGAAAAGAGAGGACAGAGTACAATATTTATACCACAATCACTTACAACTAAACTCAATGCTAAATTATCTGATAAAAGCATTAGCTCTGTATCAAAAAATGGAAAAGAAGTTAAAACATATTCAAGTTCATCAGAAACAACCGAATCAAAACCAAGGTCTAGGCAACGTAGACTATCTAGAACATTAAGTCCAAGTGAAGTAAAAATGTTACATTCTGCTAATAATAGATCAGATCCTTTACAGAAAATGGACCAGAAGAAAAAGGAGAAAATAGAGGTACTTCAGATAGATAATGAATATGATTATGAAGATGATTTTGAGGTAAAATACTGCTGTAGTTTATGCACAATTTATAATTTAGGTCTAATTTAAACTATTTCATAGGATTATGAATCTGATTTTCAAGAATGCACAGATAGTGAAACATCTGAAGTTAGTGAAGAAACAAGCATTAATCATATTAATGTACCACTGGATCCAATTGAACTGCATACTGCAAAACAAGTATTGATATTTATTTTATCATAGAATAGTATCAAAAGCAGTAATATTTTTTTATTTCAAGTTATCACTTTACTGTAGCGCAAAGTTGTGAACAGTGCCGAACAAAAGGAAGAAGAACATATGCATGATTCTGGTCATTATGAGCTTACAGAAGCAAGAAGGAGAGCTGCAAGAATAGACTCAATTGCAAATGATTCAAAGCTATCTTCTCTTCTTGAAATAAAACAACCAGTTAATAAATCATTTAGGTTTGTTCTAAGCAAAATCAAGTTTCAAAATAATTAAATAATTTTTATTGTGCAAATTGTACTGTTTTCAATAATTATATATAAATGATTGCCAAAATAATATTGATTTACATAAATAAAAATTTAATATATGCACGTGTACGCATTTTTATATAGTGAGGATAGATCGGAAAATAAATCGTTACCATTATCTACTGATGAAGGATTCGAAGATAGTCGTTCGGGTGATTTTGCAAAATCACCACCGCTCTCACAAATTTCGTTCATTGATTTCCGTAAAACCAAAGAGGAACAAAAACCAAAGGTAATAAATTGATAAATTAACGAAATAGTGAAACTTTTTATTAATAATTTTATTTATTATTGCTTTCAGAAACCCAAAAAGAGTTTAAGTAGAGGTGAAGAGCTATTAGAAATGATAAAATTAGATGTTATGGAGTGGTCTGTTCTGGAATGTTCACCTATACCATATGAAGAATTTATTAGAAATTATGGAAAATTAAATGCTCAACAAGTATAGTGATTGTCTATTAATAATATTACATCGTGTTATTAATTGAAAAATTAATGTGTTCGATTTTTAGATATCTACGCAAACTGGTGAAGATAATATTGACATAGAAACACAAACGGAGGAAATAACATTTAGAAATAAATGGACTCAATTTCCAATAGCTTGCAGACAAAATTTACAAACCAAAGAAGATTTAGACTTATTTCGTATGGTACATACACTTATCACTTTTTACTGATTAATCTTTATCTTAAATATCACATTTTTAGGATCAAATTGGGGTCGGTAGTGACAATGATAATGATATAGAAACTATAAGCTCTATGTTACCGCAACCCTTTGATATATTGCGATTAAATGATTTCATGAGTCGCGCAGGAAAGGTAATGTTATCGTTATTGGAAGAAAGACGATCTGGTGGCAATGTGTTTAAAAATGAAGAAGAAATACCATTCAGTGACGGTGTTGTCAAACTTTCTATAAATTCCATAACATTTTTGGCTGGTAGAGCAGTAACGATAATCCATTATTCAGAAGTCTTAAATAAAATCCTATTGACTATTCATTCTCCGGCTGAAGAAGTACGAATTATTTACTGAAGTACCAAATATAATCTATAGCAGTAAAACGTGTAATATTTTATTCAGGAAATCGAGACATCCAGCAAACAAGATTACATAACCGATTGTTGTATTGGATGCGTTTGGAATATTTCTGAACCATCGATGCCGATTAAATTATTGTACTCTACCTGCCCTATTACTTCATGTTGTTTTCATTCAACGAATTATAACATCGTATTTGCTGGACTTCAGGATGGGTATAATATTTTATTACTTTCAATTGTTGTACAATTTACTATATAAAAATAAATAAATATATTGAACAATAGATCGGTAAGTCTCTGGGATTTAAAGGAAGATGAAATGTGGCATCAGAAAGTGACAGATAAAGCCAACAATTTAGATTGGACAATACGGATGCCTACATATACAACAGCAACAAATGTAGAAACAAATCATACAGCACAAGTTGTTGCAATACGTATACTATCTAAAATTGAAGAAAAATCAGTAAAACAACATAACAATAAATTTGTACCAATACAGGTTTGTTGAAATTATTGTGCGCATTATATGTTGTCATGTATATAATGATTTAGTTATTAATGTTATCTGCATCAGTTATTTGTTTAACTTTAATTGTGAATATTACTTGTACTAATAGATATGTAGCTTAAGTGAAAATGGTTCAGTTGTTATATGGAGTGTTTTGCACAATATGGGCAAAAATGTCGACGATTTAGGACTATCATTTTGGGGTAGTGTAAAACTTATTAAAAGTCAAGAACTATTTTTACAACCTAACTATAAAAAAAAGTAAATATTTCCTAATAACATGTTTATTACCTATTAAACTTCAACTTTACTAAAGTCTTTTAACTCTCTAGAAAGATCATTGCAGCTACGTTCATTGATATGCATGTGGATTGCATTGATAGTAATAATCTTTATATTGCCACTAACAGTAGCAGTATTTTGCATGGTACTTGTATTGGTAACAAAGCTAATCCTGCTGTATATACAAAGTTGGATACTAGTAAGTTATTAATAACACATCAATTTTAATTAGTTCATTGTAATTTCAATACTTCATTTGATGTTTCAGATGACTGTGGGAACGTAACTTGCATAGAAATCTGTCCATTTGGATATTCGTTTTTCTTGGTAATATTTTTACTTACATTCACTCTCTTGGATTTTTTCGTTGTTCCTAAAGCAGTTTTCTAATACAGGTTAGCTGTGATGATGGAACAATTCGATTGCACTCTTTAGATATTAAGAAACCAATTTTACAATTAAAAGATGAAGACAATACATACATTATTAGATCGGTACAGTGGTCAAGGTCGAAACCATTTACACTTTTTGTACTAGACAATAAATCATGGTAAGAAAAATTAACAAAATGAATATTGATTTAAACGAAGTAAGCAATTGAAATAACTTTTGTATATGATATTTTAGTATACATATATGGGATTTAAGTAACAGTGATATATATCCAACATACAAAATAAATATGCGAAATAGTGGACATATAAAAACTATGCAATTATCATATTGCAAAACAAAACGAGATATGTCTCATCAGTACTTGGTATGTTTTTTTTTTCATGCATAATAATTTGTAAAAATTCTATATGTGTTATTTTTTCCAGGCGTTTGGTACAGAATGCGGGCACGTAGAAATACACAAGCTAAAAATGAATTTTTATCATTCAAAGGAAGAAGATTATTTACAGGAATTAAATGCTTTCATGCGATACGTTGCGATTTTATAAATAAGATAAAATCATCAATAAGGTCAATACTGTTCAAGGAAATTGACACATTTTTTATACTTCCGGTGAATTGAAACGGACTTTGTATGCCTTGGATATACATTTGTATTTTCAAAGTGAATGATACATACTTAAATAATATTTAAGGACAATCCTATAATCATAATGTATGTGTCCACTGAAAAGCATTTTTTAAACTGCTGTATCACTTTAAGGCAAAACTAGAAGTTTGCACAAAACTATTATTATTTATTGTACACATTATTCACTGTAACGCACAAAACTGAAACCGTCCACGAATTGTATACAATCCAAAATTTTATAATGTAAAAAGATATTTAAATAATATACCTCAATGAAAACATTCTTCAGTAATAATTTCTTTATTATTCTAAATATCACTTTATCAAAACATAGACTTATATAATGATGTAAGGAAAGACATTTATGCTCAAGTAATTTGTAATTTACTTAACATAACGATCAAAATATATATAACCTTCATGTAACTATAATGGAAATTCAAATATGCCGCGCCGTTGCAATTAACTTGTTTTACAAGATCATCAATAATAACAGGGTAACTCGTTACACGTTGAATTTGGTGAACTTCTAACTGCAGATGTTGAGTTTCGTCCTGTAAAAAAAAGGGCATTTGCATTTGTTTTAAATAATATAAATCTACATTAATAAACCTATTCATCATCGTAAAATTTTACGTTATTTATTCACAATGTGCGATTATTGTTCTTGGATTGATCAAATTTTAGCGAGGATCAGATCTGAGACAAAGCCAGATAAAAAGAAACGTCGTAGCTATGTTGATCCAGTTATAGTAGTTCATGGAGGCGCGGGAAAAGTTCCACGAACGAAACGTAAACACATACTCTTTGAGGTTTGAAAAATATTATATACTTTTAATTTAAAATTAACTAATATTATTTTCAAAAAAATGTTTACAAATAAATTACTATAACATTAATAACAGAAATAAAAAGTAATTATTTATAAAACATACCTGATAGTTAGTAAACCTTTTTGTAAATAATTATTAAATGAAGAATTATTCATACAAATAGGTTAAAAATGCCGCCATTGAAGCGTATAGTGATCTTATCAATGGTCGATCAGCAGTGGATGCGGTAGAAAAAGGAATCATTTATATGGAAAGTAAGCCGTTTTTTAATTGTGCGAAAGGTGGTTCTTTGGACGTTAACGATGAAATTGTCACGGATGCTGCTATAATGACGATACGCGACGCTGGATGTGTAGGCGCTGTTCGTGACATAGAACATCCTATTTCTTTAGGTATATATTTTATCTAACAAATCAGTGTACGGTTAAAAACATTTCCAGTTAACAATCTACCCTAATTTCCAATTTCAATTTCTAATTATAGCACGGAAGGTATTAGAGAAAACGGAACATGTCCTAATCGTCGAAAATGGAGCTCAAAAATTTGCCTTGGATAACGGAATTTCAATTTTACCGCCAGGAAGTTTAAACATATCCGAATCATTAATGTCAAATTTTGAATCGTTAACATGTTGTATGAATGAAGAACAGGAAGAAAGTGAATGGAGAAATGATGCTAAGGGTGAAAAAAAAGAATGCGATTCGGATTGTTTTATAAATCGACCTCAAGACGGTGAAGCATATCCATATTGTGTTTTATCTACTGATTTAGACTGGGATGATCCGATAACTGCACAGGTGTGTTTTCTATGGCACCATTATTTTATAATACTATTAGACTCTAGACACATTATGAAATCATAAATTACAATTTTTATTTAATCCTAAACTGTGTTTCTCTGTTAGTATATCTACAAAAGGATAAACAAAGATCTAATAGCTACTATAAGTTCTCAAGTTTCATAAAATATAGTTAGAAAATATGAATATTAGGTTAGCGCGGTTGGAGTAGTAGCATACGATCGTAAGAAACGGCTTGCAAGCGGAACATCGACATCTGGAGAACCTCGAAAGCCGGTTGGTTCCATCAGCTCAATCGGTACAGTAATTGGCTGCGGCATTTACACAGATGAACATGGCTGTGCCTCTGTATCTGGTAACGATACAAGCATCTATTGCTATGCACCAGCACGGAGAATAGTTAAAAAATTATCTGAAGATATATCGATTAACACCGCAGTAAACACAGTGCTACAGAACTTCGAAAATGAAACCGGGGAATCTCACATAGGTGCCATTGCGTTAGACGCAAAAGGCGAACCTTGCGTTTCCTTCAATTGCACACATTTCCCATGGGCTTTCTGCCAGAAAGGTTACGTTTATTACGGGATGGCGCAAAACGAGAAGTATTGGGAAAAAATAACTATATTAGAGCGACCTTTAGATTGCATGTGTATAAGTTCCGACGACGAGGATTAGAGAAATGTTAAATATTTCATTTTATATGTATTATACTAGACGAATTTAACTGTATAAATGTCTATTTTTAACAATGTTAATATTTGTACCTATAGCAATATTAGTATCTTATTATTTTAAAGTTAATATTATGCTTTTACATACCGGAAATATAATACTATGATTTGAATCATATATTCCATACATGGAGAACGCAGGCGTTGGGCCCTTGAAAGTAATTCCGAAAAGCTTGTCCATTTCCAAAAGCATCGAGTAGATTTCTTCTCGTCTTACGTCTGTTATATTTTCATGTGTTATCACCTGGAAGTAATGTTTACAAAAATATTTAATGTCGTTGCTTTTAATACTTTTAACATTATTTTTCTCATAAGAGAATTACCATGCCTAACGGAGCCCACGTAAGCAAACATGTTTCATCCGAATCGACCTCATTAAGGCATAGGGTTCGGTACTTGTTATTCCTCGTCTGATAGCCAGGATTGCCTAAAATAGAGAAGCAACAAGCTTAAAATGAGGCACAAGAAAGATATGATTATATACTCACTGATATTTTTATAAAATAGTGACGAATTAACATACCAATTTTCCCCTCGATGTTCTTTAAATCAACAAAAGCCACGTCTCCAACATCAGACATCATGCAGTCAAAGGCAATCAAATCTTTCCCAACTCCGTTCGCTACAAATCACATTGTTTTCTTGTTTAATCAGCACACAAATCATGCTACGCGATTTTATTATCACGCCACGTGTAAATACACACCTTGGATATTCAAGGCATGTAAATTATATGGCATTTGGCCGTCACTGTCACTCAAACCAACAACGGAACTCTCTGTAAAAAAGTTAGCAACTGCTTCTGTGTCCGAGCAATAAGACTTTGTACCTGATATATTCTTCAGAGCAGCCACAAAAGCGTACCACCCTACGAAAATGTGTTTTGGCCGTCATTAAACAATTTTGAAAGAGTTTAAAAATATTTTAAATTATTTATATTGCTAAACATATAGAAATCAATTGAAAATATTTAAAGAAAAATTAACCGATATAATATCAAGAATATTAATAAGTATTATTTATATTTTTCATTATTTCATAACAATGTGCAATAATTAAATTTCTATTTATTGATTAACAGGAACATTGAGGATTTTGTTTAACAACTTTATCTATAAATATGAAATAAGACTCGTCTAAAGATCACTATTCGATAGAATCATTCAAAAAATGGAAATATTCTCACCAACGTCTCGATATCCCGTGAAACATGCCTTGACTCCTTTCAAGTCTCTCAAACTCTTGATCCATGAATCCTGTTGGACGATAGCCGCAATTCTAACGAAGTCATTGTTCCTCTTGGGTACCACCTGCACGATCGTTTTTAGACCCATTCTGAAACAATATCCTAAACACTGTAACCACTATCATCTCTATCCACAACTTTATGCAACTTGAATGTTTACTTACTTTCTAGCGTCAAACAGCTCCTCCGGCTTTGCAACGAATATATCCGCACGCTCGGTCTTGAGAGTCTTTAAACAACCTGCTCTGCTCAATTCCTGGATACACGAAATTGCTGGTTCCACACCATACACGATCGAAGCTTCCCTGAGCCACCGACACTTGTTCTCTTCCAAATTGGACGCGACGCACCATTTCACTCTTCTCGATGGATGACACGTTGCACGATTATTAGCGGTCATGAAACGAGGAACTGTGGTCAAGTGTTACTATTGTTATTATTGCAGAAACAAAATTTTATAATTTAACTTTTTCATAGTGCAATATGAAAGAAATTCGAGCAAACTCCTCTATGTATCTTGGAAGTCATTATTTTCCTATTTCTTATTATCTTATTACGCTATGAAAAAGTTAATCTTTAATTAATAAGGTATGACATATAGTGATATATGATGAATAGACTGCGAATTTTTACTTATGAGAGATTTAAGGATGTAAAAATGCACAGAATGTTCATAAGATGTAAACATAGATTTGCACAAGCATCCACAGTCTAATGACAAATTAATGAAAATCATTTTAAAAAATCAATTCTGTCTGATTAGTTAGAAAATGAACACAATAAGAAAACTTCTTTAATAGAATTTTTAAATAAATTTTTTCTTGAAAAGGATCGAGTGTTGTTCATGTTGTAATTAATCGTCGCTAATTACATCTTGTTAGGAAGTCCTCCGGCGTTTCCAGAGTATCTGTGCTCACCGGCGTTGGATGATAATTTTCCAACAATTGGCGTAGTATCGAACTGAACTTGTCCATTTTCAAGGAGCTCATCATCTTCTCCACCTTCTCTGCTACCTCTCTGGTAAAAGGCAAACATCACTTAAAAGATACATTACTCCATCAAATCCTTTTTATTAAAGTCTCTTCTTTTACTAACGATCTAGCGACGACCATCGGCCATGGTTTTGTTATCCATACGCATGGTTTGTCAAGTTTCACGGGCCTCGTCGTACCATCCGGACAAAGATACTTGTAATTTTCTTTACTGATCCGTTCCATCTAATTTCATACATGGTTTCGTTAACAAACTGCTTGAAGTTGTTATATCACGCTACTCAAAATAATTAACACGTTCCATAGCAGACAAAAATTAGCATGTTTCTCTATTTAAACATTCATAGGCGAGTATAAAAATATTTCTTGATCTACTGCAAAAAGGCATGAAAATGTCAAGAACTCACCTTTCTTTTCTTTTTTTTTTTTTTTTAAGTTACATATTTCACTTTTACAGTTCAATCAATCGTTTATTTTATATCTTAATACTCTATTCTAAGTTTACATACTATTCTGAACTTTAGAATCTCAGGCGAAAAGGCGATTATTCTGTTATTGATTATTGGACATATACTGTCCAAAAAGTTAAGATTTCGCGTTTTAAGATAATAGTTTCTATTTATGGAACATGTTTAAAAAGGGACAATATTTCGACCCTTTCATTTTTCTTCATTCTTGAATTATTTCGAATAGTCATTTGTTTATCTGAAATTAATTCTTCTACCTTAAAATGCAGCAGAGTATCATTTAATCTAACCCAGGCAATGTCACCTGCGTTATCAGTGAGGCAGAATAAAGCACCTTCGCGACCGTAATAGGCATCATTCGTATAACAGCCGACTGGATTATCGCACGCGGCGCAAAGATTCCTATACTTCGATTCTACGAGCAAGAAGGTGGGAATGGAGTAACTACATTGTATATTATTTTCAATTTGCTTCAACTGTACAAATACTTACTTAATTTACTATCATATGTGGTATCGGCGGTCCAAGCGCCAGCAATACAAGCTGCTTCGAAGAAATTCGACAAACCGTCCATTCGATTCTCCAACAACGTCTTATCCGGATCACATTTTCTCAATATTACCCATTCGTCAAAGTACTACAATTGTGATACAGGTATGTAAATGTTTTGATAGTTCATTTGTATTTTTAAGTAATACTATTTTGTATGACCAATTTTATATTTATGTTCAATTATATTATTGGATGCTATAAAGGCCTTAGCATCACATGTTAATTTGAAGTAAACTTTACCCAAAAATTGTTGTATGCAGTGATTACTTTCTACGGCATCTAAAAAAATAATATTTCTCTTTTGATATTTGATTTTCATAATAAAAATTATGTAATAAATTAATTGCAATTTTCATACATTTTTCCATAAGAAAAAAGAATTGTAAACAACACTATTTATTTATATTGATATTTGTGTAATATTTGAAAAAATTACGATTCCCAAAATGTGTGTCAAAATAATGATTCTATTATGTAGAGGTTCCAGATAAGATTTAGATCCCACTGTTAACATAAGTCGGTCAATATTGATTCACAAAATTTAATATAACTTGATGAAAACATAGTAACGAAGTTTATAGGTAATATGTAATATGTAAGAAAAGAATGAATAATTTATTGATGCGTTTCACGAACACAGAAGAGTTTTGAGTGTTCTAAGGCCATTTTTGCATCCAGCTATACAACTGTAATTAGTTATTAAAGAGGAAGTTCATATCGTGAATTCTAATTGACTGTATTTTATATAAAGTAATTAATATTTTTAATAGAATTCTTCTCAGAAGAAGTGATTTATATACATATAAATAGCAAGAAGCAAATTATCTTCTCTGATACTCCAGTACTTATAATCTTATTTTGGACGATTGGGTTATATTATCTGAGAAAAACAATATCTTTTATAGAACACAGACACGGTAAACAAGGAGTAGTTATAAGAAAATTAACCGTAGAAAATGCATTGGTCCAATCATCGGTGGTATCCAGTCCAGGATGACAGAATCTCTTACCCTTAACGTCCCATATATTCCTCACATCCTTAGATACTATGACTACCATCTCATAACGTTGCTTCTCTACCAAAAGATAATATAACATCGAAGAAACGTGAATTTCAACTTCTCACGTGATGGCAACTGGTAAAATAATTTTAATCGCTATTCGATTTACTTTGTAATTACCATCTGGAAGCATTCTTAGCTCGTTCGTGACTAGAATGTTGTATTCGTTGTACGCGGATGCTGCGACCAGATCTTCCGGTTCCATTACGGTAAAGTCGGCTTTGGCCATGGTCAATCGCCGCAGGCAATTAAACCTGTGTAATCGATGTGCCGTTAAAAAACAACAAGACGCGAAATGCGGAGAAAGGAATCGATCAATACTCTTCAAAAAGTATAAAGTAGCATTCAGACGATCATTATTATTGTCAATATTTCAAATTCTCAACATTGCATTGATAATTATGTCTTGATCGCCCACAAGGTGTCTTATGTACAATAATGGTGAGTATCTTAACTATTGATACTAATATTGATAATAATATTAATAATATCGATATTGTCAATATTACAGGGTTCTCAACATTATCGTACATAGGAGATCCTCTAGAACCAAAACAGTCCATTTTTTTTACCAATACAATATTGTCAATATTTATTGACAAACTGCATTTTCCTCATACATTCGATATTATTGATAATACATTCAATTTCGCGTTAGCGTTTAACGATGTCAAATCACAAGAAAGCATGTTCAATCATTACATATTTCAACATTATCAACGAAAGAAGATAAGAACGTATGGAACACAATTATTTTTCATCAAACCACCTCGACAATATTCGAAATATTGATAATACTTCTCTATAGTAATATTAGAAGATCTCTATAATGTTGAGAACCCTGAAATATTGACAATAATATTAATAATCTGAATACTCTTTAAAAGATTTATCGATCTTTCTATAAATTTGTTATACTCGCCTATCATTTCCTATAACACACTCTACCTGACTCCCTGAGATTACCAACTGCTTGCAAAGTTCGCGGACCCTTTTTGTTGTATGAATGCTCTCGACCACGCATAGTTTCACTGAAACGACGGTGTTTCTATTTTTTTTTTTCTCTTGCAAAACTCTTTCTCGTCCTCTCGAGCAAAGGGGAAAACATGACTACATAATTCGTTACCAATGACGAACAAATTGCTCGCCGCTCAAAGTAACTGGAGGGATCGTGTTAACGCAGCTTTCTATAATACTCTACATTATTCTCTTATGATACTTGAGTATTTTAAAATCCTATTGTTATCTTTAGCGATGAATTATTAAAGGCATTGCATGGATTTAAAGAAGAATTTTTAATATCTATTTTTTAGCTTGTATATTTTGTAGAATATTGATGTTACGGGGATCGTGGATATTAATTAAAATTACTTACAATTTTCAGCGTTGATACTTTGATGAACAAACGGGAAGAAGAAGAGTAAAACAAATAATCGAATATCCATCTTTGACGACCTTTCCACCGGCATCCTCTTCAAGGACGTATCGTAAGCGTTTGATTTTCACTCTTTCACAAGATTCTTCAAACTAATTATCAAAAACTAATACACGATATTTTTCCATGTAATGTTTCATACCGAAAACACACTGATATGCAGGAATAGAGTGTGCAAGTGTTTCATTATTTATAACAATAATTACACTTGTCGCACCGTTATAGTTGACGAGGTAAACGCTAGTTTAATGAATATGCAGACACATTAATCAGTAACGGAACTAACGGTGTTACGCATCAACTTCAATGAAACTTCGAGTACAAACAGAAAATCAACAAGCATTTTATTAATTTTTTATTGTGTATAAATACTCGGTGATTTAAAAGATATTTAGCAACAAAGATCGAGTTTCATCTATTGATACAATCAATCAGGTTTGCCTGTTACACCTCCTCTTTTGTTATACTATCTACTTTTCTTCATTCTCGTATCGCTACTATTAGCGTTATTATTACGCGCGTAGATTGAGCAAACTTTAATTAATATTCCATGAATAATTCTATTCGAAGTTTCATTGAAATCGACGCGTAATGCTTCACGCAGTCTGGTCGTCAGTTTTCCTCGATTCTGATGTAAATTGACGGAAATCATTGAGAGACAATTAATACGGACACCGAAATGAAGACGACAGAAACGACCTATTCACGATCACAGATAACGAAATCCACAACGATAATTATTCATGTCTGTTTACGAGACAACTTGATGAATCAACGCAAGGATCTTCTTACAATCGTTCTTTATAAAAAGTTCTTCGTTATTTATGAAATGACATCATCGGCTGAATCTTCAATTATCACGAAAAGAAGTATTATTCGACTGTTTCCTAACAACACGTACCTTCACCTTTCAATCAGTGCACCAAATTCTCTTGATATACAATGAAGTACTCTCTCGGCAGAGTGCTAAGGACAGATGTCCGACAATCGAAATAGAAGACAGTAGCGGGTAGACAACAGGCACGGTCTGTTTCGAGAGGAATGAGTGTGAATTATGTGAAAAAGGTCAGCCGGTTCGGCTGCATGAATAACTCGTTTCAGCAGAGTCTTTGGAGATGTAAAGAACAACGATCGACGAATTTACCACATGGCGCCCGGTACACGAGGAGGTGGATTTCTTTGCATTCGATGCGTCTACCTCTACATGTAACTCCACGCAGACTGGATTAAATTGAAACTGGCTGCTGATACGACCAATAGTCCAGTAGGGAACTGGAATTATTGAGGCTGGTGGGGGCTCATGCGTAATATAACATGTTGGTACAGTAGATGACGTTAATGTTCATGAACAATCCGAAACGAATTTAACCAACATTTTGCACAAGTGAATTTTTATGTGACGCATACTATTTAGTAAATTGTAAAAACTGTGAATTATAATTGATTAAGAGTTATTACTGGATTTGATGCACATGTGAAAGGAGAAGAACAGGACTGATGTTTCTTACTGATGATAATTTACATCCTCCTATACAGTGGCTGCATGTGTGCCTCTGTTATATTTTCCGCGTATTTTCTAAATGAGTCTTGTTGTCGTTATATAAACGGAAAATCCAGAGAATTGAATTAATCGTGGGTTAATTCCAATCAGTTCAGAATCAGTTAATTTCAATCAGATTTGAAACAATCTTCGTATAGCTGTTGTTAATTTCTTGATAATCATAGTAGGTTTTTATTTGATACCTTTAACTTTACTCTTTCTGTTCAAATTTCATCACTCATGTCATTTTAATTAAAACAAAAATTCGATTAATCGTATAATATACACAGCACTTCATCAATATTTACATTATTATCAGTATTATCAGTATCATTTTATTGATTAGGATTAAAGAATGTCATAAATACAAGCTATGCTATTTGCAAAAACAATAACGTATTCATAGAACATGAATTATTTACCATGTTCTCTATCAATCATCATAATTTAATTATTTTAGTAATTATATTGTTTCGTGTATTTAATCATTCATTAAACATATAATTCGAAAAGAATAGCTACACATATCTTCCACGAATTTAATTCATTGAAAAATAACACAAGATCCGAAATCTTAAACTTTTCTTGTAACTGTGATTTCTCTATGCATGCTCCTCACGTAAAGGTCTAAGTCATGCTACAATTGCTACTGAATTATTTTGTTAGTAAGTGTAGGAACGAAGATTGCTAGCAAATTATTATTATTGTTACGCAGTATCATTTCTCTTAAAGCATATACATCGTCATCATCATAAAATATTTTCCAACAAAGCCCTCTAAAATTGCAAAAGAATAAATTCGTGAAAATTTAAATATTAAATATTCCATCTTTTTTAACTATCACAAGAAATTTTTATTATTATTATTATTTATTATTATATATTTATTATTATATATTTATTATATATATATATATATATTTATTACTCTATTAGAGAATATTTGAATAAATTAAAAAAATTGTAAAGGTATTCAAATAATCAAACATTCAATACAACTTTGCGCAAAAAATTTTTACTCGATTTAAAGTTATAGTATCCACTGCATAAAAATTACAAATGACATATACACGCATGTTTGATGATAAGCCTTGTTCGACCAAGATAACTAATCAACATTGATAGAAGAGTATATATAAGTACTAAAAATGACTGATTAATATTTGTGGAATATTTCAACTACTCGCATCATTTTTTTACGACATAGTAATTTTTTATAAAACGTAATTAATCAATTCTTTTGTAACCGTAAAGATTAAATTAATATTCATATAATAATCTAACAGTACTGGTTATGAAAAAACTCACTTTTCAATATAATTTCTTAAATAGTCTTTTTCATAACATGTGTTAGGATAGATAAAATCTTCTCTGTAAATACGAAGATTTTGTCATATGATCAAATATGAGTTATAAAATGTATCTTATGCATACATATGTGTGCATCTGTCATATGGATGACCTTGAGACGCTCACATCTGTACATATGTGCATATATATGTGTGTCCATATTGAAGATAAAAGTATCTCGAACTTCGAACTCGAAACTTCACACTTGACACAATGAGTAGTTAGTAGCGCTAGTATAGCTGTATGTGAGGGAGGTATGTTAAGTCCATGTGATTCGCTGCCAAAACATCAGTTTACAGCCTCCGTACTTCATGTCAGTACGTTCAGTACTTTCCTTCTGTGATATTGACGATATGGAAGGAGAACAAATAATCAGGAGAAACAACTCTAGGTTCTATGCATTGTATTATTAATATTATTCAGTGTAATATGATATATTTAATTTATTCTCTTACGAACAATAATCCTTTTTATTGTAGAAAAATAAGTCGTATTAATATTATTGAAGATGCAGATAAAGTATATCATCCGATAATGCAGAGGGTGTTTATTGCGTCGTTATTTATATAAAGTACAAATATAGAGGAATCACATGTAGGGGCAAATTCACTGAACGCGGTTAGTTCGATACAGTGAACTTTCACAGATTAGAATGCTATTTTTTAATGTTTGTTATAAAGTAGGCAACATAATTTTTATTGAATATTTACAATGTTACTTCTAAATTATATCTATAGATATATGTGATAAGTTATCTTTTTCGTACCAGTGTTTCCTCTGTTATCTTACTTTATATTCGTTCTATGTATTTATTGTTTTCATTTATATATGTGTCTGGAATGTTTCTAATTAGTTATGTATATTAATATATTTTGATTTCAGAAAACAATGCTGAATTTAAGTATTGTTCCCCAGACTAAAATATTTAAGACAATATTTTTCTGATGTATTGGTTACTGTAATGTCACAAAAAATGAAGCTAAATTACACACAGTTGCCTATCAAGGCACATTATTTCTTCTTTATGGCAGGTAAGTCCAATTAATTAAGTTGAAATACATCTTTCTTTATTGTGTAATTCTTTTATATTATTTCTGATTGCAGCTATGGGACCAATTCTTCCATTTTTACCAGTTTATGGTAAACAACTTGGTATTTCAGCATTTATTATGGGCAGTATAACAGCTATTCTACCAATCTTGTTCTTAATTGCTAAACCAACTTTTGGTTTTCTCGTGGATTATTTTTATACCTGGAGAAAAACAATTTTTATCGCATTATTAGCAGTAACAAGTGGTTGCTATATTTGTATGTACTTCTTACCAGTACTTCCAGGTCCAGTTTTTTCAGACTATAGTTTTAGTAATGTATCTTGTGATTTGTTACCATATTGTAAACTAGAGGTACTTTATTATTGATTTGTAATAATATAATTTGAACACTCACAACTTTTATAAATTATCAGTTTTTATTTTCTATTTCAGGATATTTCTAAGCCATATTTATGTACTGGAGTAAAGAATGCTATATGCCATTGGACCTGTATAGATAAAAATTTCTCTGTATCAATACAATTCCAAGCACTTAATGAAGAAATAAGCTTTTCCTCAAATTCAACGTGCTTAATTGATAAAAATAGTACCTTATATTGTTCTAAACATAGCAACTGCAATGTTATTTGTCATAACTTGTATGATAGTTATTGCCTATATACATCTGTTACTTTTTGGGGTTTTGTTTTATTAATGTCTCTTGGTAATATTGGTTTCAATGTATGTAATTGCATGAGTGATGCAATTTGTTTTGATATATTAGGTATGACGTAATTTCCTTCTCTTTTCATTTCAGTTTATTAGTGATAGCAGCAAATATTATATTTATTTTTCTAGGTGAAGATGGTCAAATGGGGTATGGTAGACAACGTCTTTGGGGAACTATAGGTTTTGGAATTTCTGCCTTTTTGGCTGGCTACACAGTAGATTATTGGTCTAAAGGAGAAATTATTAAAATATACACACCTGCGTTCTTACTTGTTTTCATATTCACACTCATTGATCTATTCTGTTGTAAAAAATTAGACGTGAGTACCTATCATAAAATCTCAAAAATAAGAAATATTTGTTTTTAATATATTTAATTACGCTACTTATTAAAACTACTTTTTGCAGCTGCCAGTAATGACAGGATCGGCAGATATACTGAAAGACATTATGAAACTTTTGAGGTTGAAACCTATAATTATATTTCTCTGTTTTACAACGATTGCCGGCATTATCGATAGCTTTATGATTTATTTCTTATTTTGGTAAAATCTTATTTCGATAAAATATTAAATTTTTAATATTTCAATATAAATTTTTAAAAATGTGATACATAAATTACAAGAGCAAAATGAAATTCGCAAATAATACGTTTCAAATAGGTATTTAGAAGACCTCGCTGTGGCAACTAATTGCGTGAGAGACATTAAATTAATAGAAGGTTTAATCGTTGCAGCAGAAACTTTGTGCGGCGAAGTAACTTTTTTTTTGCTGTCTGGTATATTACTTATTTATTTAAGTAATCTTATTTTTTGTATTATTTTTTATTTTTTAATCGGTTTCTCCTTAATAGGTAAGATCCTAAAGAAACTAGGATTCGGATATAGCTTTACATTGTGTTTCGTATGCTATGCTTTACGACTTGGACTGATTTCTTTGGCATTGAATCCGTGGTGGGTAATACCAATAGAACTGTTTATGCAAGGACCTACTTATGCACTTTGTTACGCGACAATAGTCGCTTATGCAAGTAAAGTTGCACCGCCCGGAACATCAGCTACTGTTCAAGGAATCGTAGCTGGCATGGATGACGGTTTTGGTAATGAAAGTTTATGATATGGATGTACCGTTGTTTAAATATAATACACATAATATGCATTTGTATTATTCTAATCGATAATTTTAATCGAACGCAAAATTACTCAAAGATATTACTCAAGTATACTTAATAGTTTTACTATATTATTATTTATTGCTCCAGGTTTTGCAATTGGTAGCTTGATAGGCGGAATCTTATACAAATTATTTGGAGGTGTAACAACGTTACGGATATTTTCATCAATTGCCGCTATAACAGCATTCTTATACCTCATTTTATACGTATTATATTTAAAAGACATAATACCAGGTAGTAAAACTAATAGTCATTAGATATTTAATTTTTTGTATGCTGCTGTGGTTAAATCAATTTCTTATTATAGATACAAAGAACAATGTAGAATGGAAAACACCAGAGGAAGCTCAAAAGAAATGTACAGTTGCAGAAAGCTGACTACACAAAAATTTAAATCAAAAATATTTGAATATTTTACTGCAAATGAATATTATTGTTAATGATATAATTATCGTTTTACTAACCGATTTGTTTATTACCAATTGATAATTTATAAATAAAATTTGACATATTTTTCTTATTGGTCTAATTCTTATCACGTGTATTTCCGTTTAAGAATTTGAAAAGAAAAAAAAATGTTTATATAGTTCAGGTGACGGTAAAGTTTAACAGCTGTTGTACCCGCGGTTGCCACGTGATTGGTTTGATAAAGATGACAGATGCGTGGCGTTTAGATACTTTACCATCTGACGTTTTGATTTTAATTTTCGATTATTGTCATGCATTTGATTTGGTACGACTTAGCGAAGTTTGTACACGGTTCCATGATATTATACAGGAAGACACACTTTGGATCAAGAAGAGTAAGCTGCCGATTGTGACGAATCAAACTTCAAGAAAGTTTCGCGAAAGGTATGATAGGTTACGGTTAAATATTTTTTTCTGTATATAACATATTATTTTTGTCGCTGTTTTTAGTTATCGTCCGTGAGGTGATTTTATTTGCACAATTCTGTGTGTTGCAAAGTTCATAATATGTGTTGATTCAAAAGACAAGAAGCTTTTACCTTAACATACATATGTACGAAATCTAGAAAGCTTCAGGTGGTTCCCAATTGTTCCATAGTACTAACAGTTAATTGTATATTTTATATTTATGTCATATATATTATACATTATATTATGTATTACATATTGATAATTAACATAACAAATAAATTGAAGGATCACTTACATTTTTTAGAAATAAATTACATGTTATTAATCATATTACTACTAATTATATTACTATTAATTATAAATTTAAGTTATAATTGTAGTATAATATAACATATTAGTAAAGTTATGTATTAAACAGAATTTTATTAAAGTTCCAATATCTCAATTTAACAGGTGCATTTCATTACTAAGTTTACGTGCAAAATGGCATGTTTCAAACAATTGGCAATGTGGCAAATACGAGAAGAAAGCTTTCTTCTCTCAAAATGCAAAAGTTATACCGCATATTCAATTAACCAAAGATATTTTATGGTGGAGTGGTGGAAATCAATTGTATGGTTTTAGACGTACTGAAGCATATCCACATAATAACCGATTTTTTATTCATGATAATGTTACGAGTACTATTTCCAAATTTATTGTCAGGAATGATTATATTATTACAGGCCATAGGTATTTAGCCATAGGCTTCGTATTAATCAAGATAATAGCAAAGCTGACATCTTATAAAATATTATTTTATATACGTGCCATTTTTTACAGAGATGGAAGTATGCGATTTTGGACAAAGCCACAAATTAACCGAAACATAGATTTTTACTTTAGTATAGAACAAGCACATTCTAGAAGTCTAAATGCATTGGACGAAACATTTTCAGCTATTATATCAGGTGCCGGTGATGGTACCGTGAAGGTATAATTTTAAATATTACTTCAAAAAGTATATAATTAATCCTTTCTGGTCGTAATTTCTGAGGGCATTGATCTCGCCAATACTTCAATGCCTGGCAATATCCAGACTTCGACTGGAAAGAGTTAATATTCGAATAATATTATAATAATATCTAGATTTGGACACCTCTTGGACAAGGGATCTCAAATGTACCTTTAGCAACGATAAATATTGCACAGTGGGTATGCTCTCTTTCAGTTGATCCAATGAATGAAAAGGTTGCCGTAGGTACTGCTGGTAGTTGTGATATACCTCATCTTCATATATTTAATCTTGGACAGTAAGCTATTATTTAAATAAACACAAATTGAAGCTCCGAGAACGCCTATATAAAATTTTGTGTTTCATAATAATTTCAGTTATACCAAATTTGATACGTTAAAGACAAATAAAAAAGTACATGCAGGGACATTAGATATGGTTTGGGATAGCCCACAAACTTTACTTACCTGTGGATATGATACTTATATTCGGAAATGGGACTTGAGGTAAATATAAATATTTCTTATCCTAAAATAATAGCATCATTATTTTTACTGAAAAATAATTATTCTAGGACTGGAACATGTGTATATTCGTGGCGAGAACCAACAGATGCAACTTTATACTGTATATCATCAGACTATCAGTACACTATGATTACTGGAACTAAATTTAACTGTAAGGCTGTTCTCTGGGATCAAAGACAAAGAAATTATGTACAGGTCAGTACTGTCGTTATTCTTATATGATATTCGATATAATATGCAGTTTATATATCGTATACAATAACATTAAATTATATTTATAACATGTTTTTACTTTTTACAGATTTACTTCATGAATCTTCGTAGAATGTCCAGTCCTACTTATTCTGTCAGCTTTGATAGTACACATTTATATGGGGCAACAGATCAACATTTAGTCGAACTAAACTTCTCAGGATATTCGTACAAAAAATCCAATTACAAAGAAATTCTGAGATATGAATACACAGAACCAGTTATTAGCTGAAACTGTATCGTGTAAAGTGAACGTGTAATATTAAGTACACTAACATGCAGGAATATTTGGACCAGATTGTTGCAAATATATACTCATATTATTTGCAAAAATGTTATTGCAAAAAAAATACTCTTCAAAGAAAGCTTTTTAATTTAATTTTGGCCTCTGATTTTATCTCAAACAATCATATATAGTTAAAAACAATAAATAAATTATTAAAATAATAGTTAATATTAATTACTATAAATAAAGGAGCAAAAATTTTAAGTGGGTTAAAATTGTATTTGTTTAATATTAAAACAAACATCAGTTATGGCAAGAAACAAAAAATTAACAGTAGAGGAATATTATTCTATCATAATGTCAAAAATATAATAGAAATATCAATATTTTGATTGGCTTGTATCAGAGGTCCAAATAATTATGCACGGCAGTGTATATAAAATAAGAAACACTATACGACTGATATAGATTAAGATATTTTACTATTTAAATTATTGACAAATTTAATTGTAAATTAAAAAGCACATCACATTTGCAATAATTATTAACACTTTATTATATCAACAGGCATTAATTTCTGCAAAACTCTTTTTCTTTTAAATGATCGTTATAAAATGTAAAGAATTTGATTTAATGCACGCATAATTATACAATTCATTAGTAAATTCGTCAGGAACATTTTTTGGTTTTCAACCTGAAGTATATAAGAAACCATCCGCAATTTAATAACACTAGGAAAAAAGAACTTGTAATACGTAAAACTAAATATATTTATTCAAACTGATTTAATGCGTTTGTTCCTTCGCCCTTTTATATTTCATAATACAGAAACTATTTTTGTTACAATTAACTTCTCTTGTTATAAATAAGGATATGGATACATTCAGACATTAGATGTTGCAAATCCAAACCCAAAATTAAGTATTGCGTTAAGTAACTTCTTATGATAATCTATACCTCACCTGTCCTTGAAATAATCCTATCAAAGCATTTTTCTAATCATATAGTTTAGAATACCACCGTGTTTATAATACGTTAAATCTACTTCGGTATCGAATCGTAGGATTACTTCGAACCTTTTACCATCATCCGTAGTAATGGTAATTAGTTGGCCAGGTTGAGAATTCTCGGGGACTACTACATCATACATTTCATAACCTGTCAATCCTAGGGTCTCTGCGTTTTGCCCAGGTAGGTACTGTAGTGGAATAATACCCATACCTACCAAATTTGACCTGGAAAATAGCAATGGCAATAAAATGTATATAAGGTACTCTCCTTTACATTTTGAAGGTTCTCTACCTACTCTAATGTAAAATTTTCTCCGATTTATTTTGTAATAAACAGTTACCTATGTATTCTTTCATATGACTCAGCTATAACCGCTCGAATTCCAAGAAGATATGGTCCTTTCGCAGCCCAATCTCGTGATGATCCAGATCCGTATTCTTTGCCGACAAGAAGTATTAAGGGTGTTTGATCTTTTGCGTATTTTTCAGCTGCGTCGAAAATATCCATCTAGAAACATACAGTTATGTTCAAAGATATTATAGAGACTAGTTTATTTGATTTTAATATGTCTACAAACCTCTTCCTTAGTAGGAATGTAAATTGTACGTGGTCCAGTTTTTGTTAGAAATTTGTTTACCAAACGAATGTTAGCGAACGTACCTCGTGCCATTACTTCATCGTTACCTCTACGTGAACCGTAAGAATTGAATTCTTTTGGTGTCAATCTAAAAACGGAAACGTAACAAATGGATCAAATAAAAGATTTATTTATCTTCTTTACTCTTATCCTTCTTTACTTGTACTTTAAACGTACCCACGACCTGCGAGATATCGTGCTGCCGGGGAATTGCGTGCAATACTGCCAGCTGGACTGATATGATCTGTTGTAACAGAGTCGCCAAGATTCAGAAGAACGCGTGCTTTGGTAATTGGTTTGATTTTTGTTAATTCCTAATTACAATAAAAATAATCTCAATTAATTCTAACTTACTTATCAAATATAAAATAACGTGTCTCTAAAAATTAATAGATTTATGAAGTTGTATATAGGTACGTAATTTAGTGAACAATGTGTTCTATAGATAAAATAAGACTAAAATGTGACAAAAATATGAAATGCAATAAACATTGATCCTCTTTCTCTTAATTTAATACAGGATAAGGCAGGATATATACATAATATTTGTAGTACTTTTGTGTTGATACAAGATATATATTCGTTCCAGTTTCGTTCTTGCGAAGTCGGAAGTCACGATTTTCAGAATATAGCAAGTATTTGTACGAATCATGAGTATAAAGATGTGCATTTCGTTTACGAATTGCGTGCCGAAAGTTCTAGAAGTGTCGTTAGAAAACATCAAGAAATGTTCTTTAATAAAAGAGTAACACGTCACATAGTGTTCGTCTACAATAAATTTATACTGATAAAATAGCTTTATACTGATAAAAGCGGACGATACTTCGAAATATACACATTTATAAGTATTGGGAATACCAACGGTCAAGGAAGAGATTAACAGAAGTGCAAGAAGGTACAGAGAAAGAATAGCAACGCACCCGAACCGGCTGACAGCGGAAACGGTCAGCGCATCAAACATAAAAAGAAGATTAAAAAGGAAACACCCAACAAATCTCACGAAGGACGTAATCTAACATACAAGCATTCACCACACTAAACAAATAAATCAATCAAATTCGAAGATGGTATTCCACTGGGGATAGCCATCCACATGCTATATTGCAATTTCACTAAGCTATAATATTTTACCAAATGTCCTACTGGACAAATTGTAAAATGTAAATAAATAAATAATAAAAAAAAAATTTATAAGTATGTATAGGTTTACGTTTCATATTTTTGTTATAATCTTCCAATGTAGCTATGGACTGAAGGATGAATTTATGAACTTTTTGCTACATAACTTGTTGTAGGCTTGTTTTTATTTATAAAACATACTGGCAAAGTTTGTACACTAAACTACGGGATGATCTTTATAATATAATATTCACCTTTTGCAAATTTTCGAAGTATGGTGGACTCTTTATGTAGGTGGAACTTGCATCCCATGGATATAATGTAGAATCTGGAGCTAGCAAGTTTGCCCAGCTAGAGCTACCCTGTTTAATTTTACTATAAACTTCTGTAAACATTGCCGGAATTACGAATTTTTGCTCGACAACTTGAATTTCTGATCTAGTAGGCCAAATATCTTGTAGGTATATGGGAGTGCCATCCGCTCGACGACCTGAATATTATGAGCATTATTATGAAATTTTTCAAAGACCATAAAATTAATTAAATCATTCATTTACCAAGTGGTTCTTTTTCAAAGTCTATATCTACCGTTCCAGCAATGGCATAAGCAATTACCAAGAGCGGTGATGCTAGGTAATTTGCTCGTGTGTGCGGATGAATTCTGCCTTCGAAATTTCGATTACCGGACAATATACCACAACATACAAGTGCGTTCTATTTAAGTAAAACAAATAATTGGAAGAGATAGAAATTATTTACGTGGTACAGGAGTTGAGGACATTTAATATATTATTACCTTCTCAATACTTTCAACAATAACATCTGGAAGAGGACCGCTATTGCCGATACAAGTCATGCATCCGTAACCGACAACATCAAATCCTAATTTTGTTAAATATGGAATCACTCCACTTTCCTCCAAATAATAAGTAACGACTCCAGATCCCGGAGACAATGATGTTTTAATATAAGGCGCAACGCATAAACCAGCTTCAACAGCATTTTTTGCAAGGAGACCTAAAGTTATAAGATTCTATTCTACTAAAAATATTCAATTTTTAAATATGAAATTTTTATTATTTTGATAATATATCTTAGAACAGCAGTTCCCAACTTTTATGCTACTACGCCTCCCCGATAAAACCTTTTTCCGTGCTCGCCTATCTTTTATTTTTTTAATAGATATGATAATAGAGGCAATCATAATATAGACATTAAATAATAAAAACTGTATTACAAAAAAAAAAAACTGAAAACTACAATTAACAGAATGATAACAAGGTTGTCCTATAACATATACGTGATATTATAATATGAAAAATAATATTTTATTACAAAATTTTGGGGCCTCCCCTGGCAATAGTCCGCGCTTCCCAAGTTGGAAAGCGCTGACTAAGAACGTAAATTGTTCTTTACGTTTCAATGGGTAATAAATAAACGTCAAGGTGAACATATTTTATAAAAGAAATTACCTGCTCCAAGCATGACACTGGGGTTGCTAGTATTAGTACAACTAGTAATGGCAGCAATGACCACCGAACCATGCCTTAATTTGTAGTCTTTCCCTCCATACTCAAACATACTTACGGTATCTACTTTCTCAGGGCTTAAACCATACCCTTTAAATCCTACCTGAAAATAAAAATAATTTATTAATAATATGCTTTCCTACTATTCAATAAAACAAGATTGAGATATAAAATAAAAAAATATATAGAAGTATAGCATACATAAACAATTAGTTTTTGTAGATAGGTTTAAAAAAGTTTATATGAAAATATAAAAATGAAAAATCATTTTTTCGCATCATAGATTGTTTCAAGGAATGACAATCTAAATCCTTTCGTACATCAATACACGAAAGTTTGATGACCTACGAGCATGATTGCACGTAGAATTCATTGTCCGATGATTTGCTGAAGGCGCAGTCTTATATCGCAAAACGGCAGGTCCCCAACTGTTTCGACATTCAATGTCCAATATATAAAGCTTTATTTTTATTTCATTCGTATGTAATTATTTATCTTACACGTTTAGAAATAAATAGGATGTTTCATGAATAGTGAGCTAGAATTTTAGTATAAATTCAAGAGATTGGGCATAGAAGCAAGTAAATAAATTTATATAATCACATGTTCATGAACAGATTTCTCAACGTGAGAATTGATTGTAATTTTAATAAATAAAAAAAAAATGTGAACGGATATATAATATATAATAATATATAAAGATAAAAATTAAATAATCTACTTATATAAAGTATCATTATAAAATGTTCATACATTTGACACGAACATCACTCTAATAACGATTATAATATGAATCCTAAATTAAATTATAATTAATAAAACTTTAGACAATATCTATATATGTATACATATATATACATTTTTGTTCAATTTTTTTAAATTACTGAAAATTCTAAATTTTAAATTACTGTAATTTTAATAAATAAATAAAAAAAAAGAAAAATTTTTTTTAAGACACCCTATATATTGTTATATTGATGGTAGTTTCACCAATATAATAAAATTCCATAAATTCACAGAACGGTAATCCGAAGACAATTAGTGACATTTTCCTTCGGAAACACAGCTGTTCGAATATTCTTAATGACGTCTCCGTTTACCGAGGCTCTTAAGGTCATTGTAATTACTTTTGGAACTTTGGAATCGTAAACACATTGTCGATGTCTAAATTCTTGAAGACCCTTTAGCATGGAATACGCATTATTTCAAACAATTACCGGTAACGTTATCGTCCGAACTTTCCCTCGCATTTAGGGATTACTTCCAGAAATTCTATACGGGCGAAACAGTTATTTACAATTACCTATAGGTTCACGAAACCTAGGACCCAAAACCTAAAATCTAATCTCTACTAGAAAATATTTTCTATAATATGAGTTTCAAAATAATGTATTGCTGAAAATTCTCAACGCGAGAATTGATCGTTATTTTAATAAATAAAATAAAAAAAAAATAATATGAATTTTTTATAATATGATATATATTATT